GATAAGAAGCAGCAAATTAACCCATTTGAATCCATGCGTTATCAACTCGCATTGATGGTGCTGTCTGTACTTTGATATCCAGGGCATTGATAAAGCAGGTTGTCTATTTGGGATATTTGGAATTGCACATTTATGCAACTCCTGCTTATTAAAAAATCCCAGAAAACATTTGTACACATCTTGGGTACAATTTAAAAAAAAATGTGTTGAGCCATTGACAGCCATTTTCATGTGCTCCTTGGACATTTTCAAGGGGCTGTCACTAGCTTTCCCTTCAGAGACTCTGACAAGTGACCTTGAAAGGGGATGCATTTAGCACAGGAAAGACTGAGCCACTGCTGGTGGCTCCAAAGCCCTGTTTGGGCACTTGGTGGAGTGACTGCCACTGGCAGTGATGATGGGCAAACTCAGGAAGCACAGCAATGACCTTTTGCCATGTTGTATGAATCCAGCCCAGGGCCGTCTTAATGCATGGGCCTGATGGGCACTTGCCTGTGGGCCCCATACGAATCTCTGTATGTTAACCCTTGGAAAATTGGAAAACTTCCAAAATTAACAGTAGCTGTAGTTGTCGTAGGGGCCCCAGTACACTGCTTTGCCCGGGGCCCATAATGCTGTTAAGACGGCCCTGATCCAGCCACAGTGTGAGACTATACCCAGTAATGCATGTGGAGAGAGGAAAGCAGCAGTGGTTGATCTCTTTTTCAGAAAACAAAGGGGCAGTGACCCTGATTTAAAAGGAAGAGATCTGGCAGGAGCTGCCTTTGATCCTGGGAGGAGTAACACATTAGATAGATAAACTTAGAGTCAATGCATCACAGTCCTGAATGGTTCAGCCATGTAAAAGAGACAAGATTCACAGAGAGTTTAAAATACCTTTTTGGATTGGACCCATCCCCACTCCCAGGTCTCCCACACAGGGTGCTGAGTGCCAGCAATAAGCAAGCACACGGGGTGCAGTGGCTGGTTGGATTGCTCAGAAGGCTTGCTTGCAGGCTTGGCAGTTAGGAATTGATGCTGCGATTCTTTGCCGGGTAATGACAGCACAGGGCCAGAGGCTGCCAGACTGGGGCGTGTGTGAGAGCAATTAAAGGAGAGTCATTATCATCATTTTTATTTACACTATACACAGGGAGTTGGAAATCAGGTGGTGTGACCCTCTAGGCCAGGGAAGTTTCAAGTGCCAGTGGGCTTGGCACTCAGTAGGAATGTAAGTCACCAACTCTCTGGGACTTGTAGAGAACCATCTCATCTTCGCTGCCAGTGATGCAGGGACAGGATCATTCTAATGAGAGTCTTTACTTACTGCTCCTGTTCTGGCCGTCCTTTGCATTGGGACCCACTCTTTGTGCATTCAGGGGGGAAAGCTCTCATTCCTCTGCAAGAACTGTATCAACCAGCTAAAGCTGGTCTGGCTGTCTGCCACTATGTGGGACAGAATGTATTATCTGTACGTGTGGGGATTTAAAGAGAGGCGTGGGAGGGTGCTACCACTGAAGCATTCCCCTTTGGGACTGCCTTGACCTTGACCATTCAACATGAGTGGTGCTGCGTGACTGGCCTCTAGACAAAAGAATTTGGGGGGTTGGGGTCTATTGTCAGTTTGACTGTCAACTTTCTGTGCGTGTTGGCAAAGCCTACTTAGGGCACTTTTTTCACCCAGGGTTATAGAAATAGTGGGTTAATTAGTTATACAATAATGAATGAGCCTGTGCAGCTTTAGGGTCCTTGTCTCACAGGGCCAGACTAGAACCATTTGGCAGCAGCAAGTTCATCCAAAAGGAGATGGTGAGGTGCTAGTCTTACTGCCCTGGGCAATCCAGAAAATGAGTCATCAGCAATGATGGAAATTGCTTCTACCGTATTAGCAAAGCTGAGATTAGTTTTTTAGAGGCTCTTGCCTAAAAGTACCCCGCAAAGTGCTTTTTGTGCTAGCCAGCCACTGGCACAGGTGGAGCCTAGCATGCCCTTGGATAGGACTGAATTCAGAGGGATGCAGTAGGTTGGAGCTACTCCCTGTCTTGTAGATTCTTTCACTGAGCTCTTAGACTTACTCTACATATGTGGCAGTGAATGAGGTGGTAGAAACCTAAGTACTGCATTATGTCAGGCTGCAGATAGGATATAACGTTTTAAAATATTATTCTACATAAAGTAAGGAAAGAAAGGAAAAGCAACAGCCCTGGATAAAGAAAACTACCATGTCAGGAATAGCCTATTGCTTGCTGTGTGAGTTTCTACTTGTTGGGGACTTTTATTCTTATTTTACTTTCAGGAAAATTCAGAAAAGTGATTCTTCACCTGCAGTGAGAAGTGACCTAGTGTAGACAACCACATCAAGAGACCAGCCTCACTTTGCTACATGTGTAGGCTAGGCCTTAATCTGTGGTGTTTGGAAATAAAATTGCTGTGCCATAAGGGAAGAAGGGGTCATGTCAGTCTTTCACCGGGAAATATTAAGTCCATGTTTTCAGGCTTCCTCCTAGCAGTGCTGAGTATCTGAAAGCTTTGCACCTGCTCAGGAAGTTGTATAGTCTTGTCTGTCCTACTACCCAAATATCCTTTCCTGTTTCCTCCAGTTCAGTTGTTTGTGCTGTCTCCTCTCTTCTCTTCTTGGCATCTGTTTCCAGTTTAGCTGCCTGGAACATTACCTACCAAGGGGAAATACTACCTCATCAGAATTAATTGTGCTAAGAGACTTACTTTGGTTCTTGTCCAGAGAAATTTGACTACTTCTTTCCACCAAACAAAATATACTTATTTTGTCTTATTTTAGAAAAAAATCAAACTGCACTTCATCTGCTAGGGATCTCAGGACAGTAAGTTGTCTGCCTTTCGTTAGATGGACACAGGTTTGTGCTTCCTTATGTGGAGATGGGGAAGCAGTGGCTAAATAGCAATGTATAAAGAACAATTTGCGTCTTCTCAGACCCAAGGCCTGTCTGGGGCTAGGAACCTAGTAGCATGTATGAGCTATGGAGATCTCAGGCTCAGCCAGCCCCTTTCAAATTGGCAAGCATTATGTTTAGCAGCAAGGGCAGAGAAAGTGCTTTCTGTGAATCATAAACATAAGCCTTGATTCCATGACTGTAATGAATCCTTACTTTCTTGCATGCATGTACATGCCATATGAGTGAAGAACCTGGGCCAGGCTTGCATATTCTTGAACTACAGCTGGAGGGGCATGCATGGAGAATCATAGCAGTGGAGAATCACACTCATAAGACTGAGGACCTGTTTGGGCAGATGGTGATTCTTATATATGGCAAGAAGCCTGGAACTGAGGGCAGTAGAACTGCAACGGGAAAGAGGTTGCCAGAATTGGCTATGTTGCTCTGCTTTCCGTTTCAGTCTGTAATCAAGCTGAACATCTGGAGGTCCATCAAACTTTCTTGTATCAAGAATAAAGGATTTGTTCTGTGTGAGGGGGAGATTGCATTAGTATCAGCATTAGTATCAGCCTGACAAAATGGTATGAGACCAAGGCTGAATCCCAGGGAAGTGCTCCATTACTTAAGAACTTGCAAATGTCAGGCCGAAGTCTTTTGTCCTATTCTGCCATGTTACTGGCAGAGCCCTATATATGACTCTGGCCATAGGAGTTGATAGGCTAGAGGAAGCTATCAGTGTTTATTACCTTCTGTGCAGGGTTAGCCCCATGACAAAAAGCACCCTGGACAAAGCATACTTTCAGTGCCCCTTCACAATCAACTTACAGCTTTTTTCTTAAACCATTTACAATACTTGGAGTGTTTATATTTTATCTAGAACAAATGACATCAAACTGGAAGTTGAAAAAGAAACAAACTTTAAAACTAATTGATATAAGTTTATTTTTGAAGTTAGTTTCCAAACATCCTGTAGAAATTGGGGTGGGGAAGAGTTTAAAGGCATGTACTATGTTTTTTAGCCTAACTCTCTGCAAACAGCAAAATCAGTCACCTGGCTTGCACGTAACAACCCATGAATTCTTATAAGGCTTACAATGTAAGCAAATGAGTGAGTAAACAGGTTGCCTCCTGCTTATTTGCCATTTTGATTCATTTTGACTTTCATAAACAACCCAACAACACTTATTCCTGGCTTCTTTACCCTGACGTGTGAACCTAGAACTGTGGGCTGTTGAAAGGGTAACAACCCAGAGTCTATACCCATAGTTTCTTCTTGTGCTAAATTCAGGGTTGTTTCTTTCTCAAGAACAAGAGTTCTGGATTCCCATGACAACCCAGGTATGGGAGAGGCATTCCCAGGCTGTTTACAAAAGCAGAAATTAAGCAGAAATGGTGAGAGGGCAGAAAGTACCCTCTGCACCATAGTTTGTTATGGTGTGCACACTAGGTAAAAAACTACCAAGTTGTCATACTCATCTGGGCGCTGGATGGGTGTTCAGTTCACCCATCCATAAGTCTGGTCCTTTTTGTACTGTGTTCCTGGGGATAATGGAGGTTTCCACTTCATCTGTACCAGGTTACAAGCTGGTTTGAGACTAAGGATGAAGAAATTACTTCCACTCCTTCTGATTATAGAGGAAATGGTGGCTGCACAAGTCATGCCAGTCCTGGAACTCCTGTTTGGACACTTAGCCTAAGTTTACTTTGATTTCCCACCTTGTTGCCTGAGGCAGGAGGAGGAGGAGCTAGATTTTGTCATGGGAAGAGAACAGCTTCTGTGGGGAGCTGGGCTGGGTGGATCTCAGCTGCTGGTTGGAATTACTTCTCCCTGGTGAACTAATGCACTTTTCTGCACTTAGACTGTGCTGTGGCAAGGTAAATATTAAAGGAGGTCAGTAGTGGATGCAGAAGGCAAGGCCCTGAGGAGAGCTACAGGGCTTTTTAACATCTGCTTCTGCTGGTGCTCTCCATTATCAAGGCTGGAGAGAGGGCTTCTAATCATGGTGATGGCAGAAATAGAAAGTGATTGATATTTAGCTAGATGGCCCCCAGGCCTGGTGGGAACTGACATATCAATAACTCTGGTGTGCATGTGACTTCCTTTGGCAGTGCTGGAACCCTGCTTGCCCCTGAATCTCCATGGCAACAGCACAGGCCTCTCCTGTGACCTGTGACCTCAGCCATTGTCTCTTGGAGCCCTACTCTCTGGATTGTAAACCCGCCAACAACCGCAGCATGGGCAGTGTGGGCAGCCTTGTAGAAAAGCAGGATTTCTTGCCAGCTGCACCAGGAGGTCTGCGAGGGATGCGTCAGCCAGACGGGTTGCTCCGGAAAGGAATGTCTCAGCGTGAAGTCTTTGGTTACTTACATGGGGGCAAACGGGATGCCCGGACTGAGAAGAAGCACCAGTCCTCTGCTGGTGGCTTTAAAAGGGACTATGAGAGTGACCGGGAGAACCAGTCCCCTGAGCGCTATTTCCGGGACAATCACCATGGGGCAGAATTCTCCAAGAGCTCTTTGCCTGAGCGTGGTCGCTTTGACAAGGTGAGTGAGATGGCATTGTGGTAGCAGTAAGGAAAAGAAAGTTTTCCTGGGAGAGACGGATAAAAAGGGGGATGGGGTGGGCTTCTTGGTATAAAACTGATGCATTTCCCTGTTGGGTTTATCCACTTTCCAATAGCATGCAATATTTCTGGGTTTTGTCATGTGAAGACATAGAGCCTTTAGCTTATATGTGGCCCAGCAGTGTGTGAAATGAAAATACTGGATCAGTAACATGTCCTGGGATTGCATGGGAGCAATAATGGGCCCAGAGCAATGTGGAACTGAGGTCACATGACCTTCAGCAGATAACAGACTGGCTGAAGCAGCTACTGTTGCTTTAGAGCAAGGATGGCCAGCTGGCAGTCCCTGAGCCACACCCAGCCTTGCACATGGCCTCCAACATCTGTTAGTTCTAGGGTGGCACCAACATGCTGCTGCTGGCCCAGAAAATGCTTCTTGGATCAATAGCTGCATGTGAGTCATCACTTCCAAGCCAGTTGCTACTCAACCCTCCTGGAACTTAAGGGAGAGATGCCCCAGAGGCCTCTGTGTCATAGTGGAGGCCCCACAGGATATCTCTCTATGCTAGCAATGATAAGGCTGAGGGTGCCTGGTTAGCTCAGGATGGGTGCACAGCTTTCCCTCATGGTGCATATGCTTAGCTTCTGAGTGAGTGCTTGCTGAAGTAGTGAAGTATCCCATTAATATAGCAACTCACAGTTTCTGAGATGAATAGCCACCTTTCGGCCTTTCCAGCAGTAGATTAAAGGGAGATACCACTGTCTCTATGATGACAAGGAAGAGCTCTGGCATCCTTTCCCTTCAGTACTGAGAAGGTTGAAAGCTGACCATTTTGGACCAATTGGCAAGAAGCTGTGCTGCCTGGAGCCATCAGCAATGTTTGATCTGTATCACTGGCAATAAGTATCCTCTTGGCATGAGTGAGGCCTGTTCTGGGATATCTTCTTATCTTGTGCAAGGAGGGCAGACTTCCACACTTGTTTATCCTCAGAGTGGAATTGTCCCTGGAAAACAGTGCTATCCTGTTCCCTGCACACTTGCCTGTCCACAGTAGCTTGGCCAGGGAATGTCCACCCTCCCTGGCCAAAGAGGTTGGATATCTCTTCTTTAGAGATTTTTTTTCTGGAGGCTTACATTGCCTTAAGCAACTGAAAGAGATGGACAGAAGCTGAGTAGGGAATAGAGTGAGTCATTCTACAAAGGGCCAGTTTTATGAAATATGGCAAGAACATGCTGACCTCCTGTTGCAGCTTATTGCTAAACTGTATTGACTAAGTGCATTAGCTGATGTAACTTTCAGTTCCTGGTTACTATGTTTATTCCAGTGTCGGATCAGGCCCTCAGCTTTTAAGGTGGTGGCTGGCAAAAGCCTGTTGTCCATGCAAGGGCTATCATCAGCCAAAGGACAGAAACTCTCAAAGAGCAATGGAAGCCTGCACACACTCTTGACCCAAAGCAGCACGAGCAGCTCATCTCAACGGGGCCCCCTGCGTAACCACCTGCTACACACCATCAGCCTTGATGAGGGGTCCAACTCTGTCCAGAGCTTCCCCACTTACAATCCCCGTTTCAAACCTGCTCCGAGTCAGCTTAGTGCTTCCATAGGCAACATCAACCACATTGGTGGCTCCCTAGACAGGGCTTCTCGGGGGCCACGGGATCCTTTGGCTGTAGAGAAAGCGCCACTGTCCTGCAAGAGCCTCAGCCGCTTGCAGAGCTCTGGGGAGCCACCCCCACCATATGAGCCTACATATTTCTTAGAAGATGTGGTCAAGCAGCTTGAGGACCGGCTGAGTGAGAAGGGCATGGAGCTCCGTCAGTTGAAGCGAAACCTTAGTGAGAGTGATGACCCCTTCACACAGGTGAGTAAATTTTCACCATCAGGGCTTCCTTGGTCTTGCAGGTATTATAAATGTATCTCCCTTTTCCTTATTTAGCTTCCTGGAGCCAGCTTCCTCCTTGCTTCCTAAAACTCTCCATCCTTGACTTGCATCTACCATACATCACTATTTTCCATCACATCCTCCTCCTTCAGACTTTCTAATGGGTGCCTGTAGTGACAAAGCAAACAGACAAGAGCAGCCTGGTGGACATTGTTTACTTGGACTTCTAAAAGGCTTTTGACAAGTCCCTCACCAAAGACACTTGAGCAAGCTTAGCAATCATGGAACAGGGGTGGGGGGAGTGTCTTATGGGTCAGTAACTGGTTAAAGGACAAGTCATGTATAAAGTGCCCCAGCTTTATTTGAAGGAAGAGAGCTGCTTGGGTTCATCCATTCTATTGTGTTTTCAGTGTGCTACAAATGACTCATGTGGTTATATCAGGGCAAGTGGGCTAGTAATTGCTCATTGCTTTCTTTACAAGTCTGCTGATTTGCTTTGGTTTTCCACGCCAAACCAGCTCCTGCTGATGATCTAGTCCTCAAGACAGCTTATTAGCTACTGTCTCATTCCTCATTAGGAATTCCTCATTCTCATTTCTCCACTTTCTCATTCCTAATTTAATTCATAATACAAGTCATAGAAAAGTAAAATGTTTATATAGGAGGAGATGCCTGTGTGACAGGGAGAGGAGCAGTACGTAGTGGTCATGACTTTCCTTACAGAAAGGCATTATACTAAAAATGGTACTGATGATTAAACATCTCCTTTGTGGAGCAGACTACATAGTTGAGAACTTGCGCCCAAGTTTCACTGCCTGATTTTAGCACCATTGTCAGGGATGCTCAGTGGCTAAATCTTTATGCAGGCAGGGCACATTTTAAAACAAGCTTGCAAATGTATTTACAAAAGTTACCACCCCACAAATGTTAACTATGTATTCTATTTGGCTACATTAGGTAAGTAATTAGTGTGGCATAAAAAGAAAGAAGGAATAATTTGAAGGGTGGGGGTGGATTTTTCCTGCCTCACTGTCTAGAAGCAATTTATCCCTACCACAGGCAATTAGGTCAATGCCACTGAACCTCTCACCCTCACTTTTTTTTTTGGTAAATGGGGTACAATAGAGTGAAAAATTGCCCATAGAACAGGACTAGAGTATGTGCAGAGTTGACATTGCTGCCCTTTATCAAGGATCAAAACACGAAATACCCTGGACCATGTGGACTGGGCTCCTGGGGGCTGAGATGGCAGCTCTGAGATCGCTGGGCTGTGTTTTGTTCTGCCAACCTTAAACTGCTGGGCAGAAGATGAAGACTGGAAATCAACTTTTCTGGAAAATACATGTCACTTAAGTTTATGTCTTCATATTAATTTAATCAGTTTATTTTATTAGAAGCTACTTTATTAAGCATTAGACTAATAGATCTTGTTTCCCAGTCCTTTCTAAATGGACTAGCAGCAGCATCTCCACCAAGCCCTGCTACCTGGATCCTTTATCTGGAGATGCTGTAGTTTGCACCTAGGACCATCAAAGGATGATGCTCTACAGCAGGAGAGGACAGTGGGTAGATTGCCAGATGTTTGGGAATTCAACTTCCAGGAACAACACCTGGCAGGAGACCGCGCCCGCGCCCGAGAACCACACCGCGCCCAAAGACCGCGCCGCGCACGCGCCCAAAGACCGCGTGAAGACTGCGCCGCGCCGCCGGCTCCGCCGCTACCTGACTGCCCTGCCACGCCCCTGCACACGTGGCAGGTGTGCCCGGACGGGGTGGGGCGTCGGGTGGCCGGCGGCTATAAAGCGCTGCAGGGGGGAGCGCCGGCGGGAGGAACAACACCTGGCAGGAGACCGCGCCCGCTCCCGAGAACCACACCGCGCCCAAAGACCGCGCCGCGCACGCGCCCAAAGACCGCGTGAAGACTGCGCCGCGCCGCCGGCTCCACCGCTACCTGACTGCCCTGCCACGCCCCTGCACACGTGGCAGGTGTGCCCGGACGGGGTGGGGCGTCGGGTGGCCGGCGGCTACAAAGTGCTGCAGGGGGGAGCGCCGGCAGGAGGAACAACACCTGGCAGGAGACCGCGCCCGCGCCCGAGAACCGCACCGCGCCCAAAGACCGCGCCGCGCACGCGCCCGAAGACCGCGCCGCGCACGCGCCCGAAGACCGCACGAAGACCGCGCCGCGCCGCCGACTCCGCCGCTACCTGACTGCCCTGCCACGCCCCTGCACACGTGGCAGGCGTGCCCGGACGGGGTGGGGCGTCGGGCGGCCGGCGGCTACAAAGCACCAGCAGCGGCCGGGGCCGGCGGCCAAAGGGCGTCGGCCAAAGGGCGGTTTGCCGCCGTTTGGGGGGGCTGTTCGGGGGGGGCTAGGCTGGCCAGGGGACTTGCTCTTTTGTTGTGGCAGTCCCTTCTGTTGAACGGCCAATTTTAAATGTTTTATAATTTTAAAGTGTTTTAACTTGTTTTTATGGAGTCGTCCCTGGCCATGTTGCCGCCTGAGTTTCCTGGGGAGCGCACTGGCGCCGCCATTGGTGTGGTGATGGGCAATGGACGTAATAGCGGTGGGGGCTTAACGTGTCCGCATAGAAGAAGGAGGGACAGATGGCTGACACCTGTCCCTACTTCTGGTTTTGCTCCCAGCCAGAAGGTGCCAGGGAGTCTTGTCAGTCGCCCCTCGGGCCTGACGGTGCTGTTGTTTAATGCCAGGTCGGCCAATAACAAATCTGCCCTCATCCATGACTTGATTGTGGATGAGGGGGCCGACCTGGCCTGTATAACGGAGACCTGGGCGGGAGAGGGGGGGGATGTTGCCCTCTCTCAATTGTGCCCGCCCGGGTATATGGTCCAGCACTGTTCACGGCCGGAGGGGAGGGGAGGGGGGGTCGCTTTGGTTTACCGGGCCTCCATCACTCTCACGGGACTTCCTGTCCCTTCGAGACCAGGGCTGGAGTGTCTCTACTTGGTGTTGGGCGACCGAGACAGATTGGGGATTCTGTTGGTGTACCGTGCACCCTTCTGCCCAACAGTCTCCCTGCCTGAGCTGACGGAAACGGTCTCGGACCTGGTGTTGAGGACCCCCAGGATGCTGGTCCTGGGGGACTTCAATATCCATGCCGAGGCTAGTTTGACCGGGGCGGCTCAGGACTTCATGGCTTCCATGACGGCCATGGGGCTGTCTCAACATGTCACCGGCCCGACCCATGAACGTGGACACACTCTGGACCTGGTTTTCTCGACGGGGCAGGAAGAGGGTGGTCTGAGGGTGAGGAATTTATGCTTGACTCCCCTGTCATGGTCAGATCACTTCCTAGTGAGGTTTGTGCTCGAGAGCGACATCTCCCTCTGTAAGGGTGCAGACCCGATTGTGTGGGTCCGCCCCCGGAGCCGGATGGATCCGGAAGGATTCCTGAAGGCTCTGGGGGAGTTTCCGGCTGACAAGACGGGTGCTCCTGTCGAGGCTCTGGTTGAACTGTGGAATGGGGAGATGACCAGGGCTGTAGACACGATCGCTCCTAAGCGTCCTCTCCCACCGGGCAGAGCCCGCTCTTCCCCTTGGTACACTCCAGAATTGAGGGCAATGAAGCAGGTTGGGAGACGGCTAGAGCGTAGGTGGAGGAAATCACGTGATGAATCTGACCGAACACACTTAAGAGCCCACTATCGGGCCTATGCTGTGGCGGTGAGGGCGGCGAAAAAGAGACACTTCTCCGCTTCCATTGCCTCCTCACAATGCCGTCCGGCGGAGCTCTTTCGAGTGGTGCAAGGCCTGGTTCACCCAGGGCCAAAGGAAGAGCTGACTCCACCCTCAAAGGCCCGCTGTGACGACTTTGCCGAGCATTTTAGGGAGAAAATCGCTCAGATTCGTCACGAGCTGGATTCCACTATTGATTCAGAGGTTTTAAGGGAGACACCAACGCTGCCGTCTGGTCCAGAATTATTGGATGAATTTCAGTTATTGCGGCCCGATGATGTGGACAAGGTGCTTGGACGAGTACGTCCTACCACTTGCCTTCTGGACCCTTGCCCGTCTTGGTTAATAAAGGATTCCAAGCACGGGATTGGAACCTGGATCTTGGAAGTGGTTAACGCTTCTCTGAGGGAGGGTCGGGTGCCTGCCCCTTTAAAGGAGGCGGTAGTCCGACCGGTCCTGAAGAAGGCGTCACTGGATCCAGGGATGGCCGCTAACTATAGACCAGTGGCCAACATCCCGTTTCTGGGCAAGGTGTTAGAGCGAGTGGTGGCGGGACAACTCCAAGCACTCTTGGATGAAACTGATTATCTGGACCCATTTCAGTCCGGCTTCAGACCCGGGTACGGTACTGAATCTGCCTTGGTCGCCCTGTACGATGACCTGTGCAGGGAGAAGGACAGGGGGAGTGCGTCCCTGTTGGTTCTCCTGGACCTCTCAGCGGCTTTCGATACCATCGACCATGGTATCCTTCTGGATAGGCTGGCGGGATTGGGGGTCGGAGGCACCGCTTTGCGGTGGTTCCGCTCCTATCTCAACGACCGATTCCAGAAGGTGGTGTTGGGGGACTATGGCTCTGCGCCATGGCAGCTTTGCCATGGGGTACCGCAGGGTTCCATTTTGTCCCCTTTACTGTTCAATATCTACATGAAACCGCTGGGAGAGGTCATCAGGAGGTGTGGGCTGCGGACCCATCAGTATGCTGATGATACCCAGCTCTACCTCTCGTTTTCCACCAATCCAGGTGAGGCAGTGGCTGTACTGAACCGGTGCCTGGCCGAGGTAATGGGCTGGATGAGGGCCAATAAACTGAAGCTCAATCCAGACAAGACGGAGGTCCTGTTGGTTGGCGGTTCGGGCTTCAGAGAAGGTGACCTGAACCTTGTCCTGAATGGGGTTGCACTCCCTCCTAGGGACAAGGTCCGCAGCTTGGGAGTGCTCCTCGACCCGGAGCTTTCACTTGAAGCTCAGGTGACAACAGCGGCGAGGAGCGCTTTCCTCCAGCTTCGGCTGATTCATCAGCTGCGCCCCTACCTGGAGTACGACTGCCTTGCAACAGTGACTCATGCGCTGGTGACTTCCCGTCTTGACTTCTGTAACGCGCTCTACGTGGGGCTACCCTTGAAGACGGTCCGGATACTTCAATTGGTTCAGAATAGAGCTGCCAGGCTGCTGACGGGGACTGGACGTTATGTTCACATGACGCCAGTTCTCCGTCAGCTTCACTGGCTCCCCATTGAAGTCCGGGCCCAATTCAAGGTGTTGGTAATGACCTATAAAGCCCTAAACGGCTTGGGTCCTGGTTACCTGAAGGAGCGCTTACATCCATATTTGCCCAGTCGCCCCCTGAGATCGGCGGGAGAGGCCCTTCTCCGGGAGCCCTCCGTGAGAGAAATTAGGAGGGTGGTTACTCGGAGAAGGGCTTTCTCAGCGGTGGCGCCTAAGTTATGGAATGCGCTCCCCAGAGAGGTCCGCCTGGCGCCGTCGTTATTTGTTTTTCGGCGCCAGGCTAAGACCTTTTTATTTAAGCAACATTTTAAATGCTAAATACAATTGAATTTTATCTGGCCAGGGCGGCTTATTTTATAATGTGAGTTTTAATTAAGATTATTTTATATGGATTTTAACTTGTTTTATCTATGTTGTAAGCCGCCCCGAGGCTTCGGCGAATGGGGCGGCATAAAAATGTTTTAATAAATAAATAAATAAATAAATAATAAACCTTTCCCAGCATGGCCAATGATTAGGAATGCTGGTGGTTGAAGGCCAAACCATTCGAAGATCTACTTTCTGCCCATCCCTCCTCCACAACTCTTTCCTGAAAGAAGTGGATTTGCCCTACATAGAAGGTCTGAGCTTTACAGGCTGGGTTAATCATTTTGATATGCTTCCTTGATTTGTCAGTTGAATCTGGCTTGTCACGTCTTGGGCTTTAATGAGTACTCTCCATAATCTCACCGTATTCTGACAGATGTTTGAGGACAAACAGCGTTTATGGATGGATGAGCTGGATGAACTGAAGCAGATGTATGTGGCCAAGCTGCAACAGGTGATGCAACAGGCGCAGCGCAGCCAGCGGGCACTTCAGCTGCAGCTCTACAAAGCACAGCAGGAAAAGAAGCGGCTGCAAGAAGAGCTGGACCTGCAGCAGAGCCAATGTGAGGAGCTGAGGCTTCAGCAACAGCAGGCAGAGCGCCTAAGTCCCAAACTGGAGGAGACCAAGTGGGAGGTGAGTGGGTTAAGTATGTGCCACAGACTGCAGACTAATGCAAGGCTTTCCCCACTGTGATCATGGGTTCTGTTTGCTCTGAACTGCACACATGGTTCTACTGACACCCATGCAGCCCCATCCATGGATGCAGGCTGCCGAATACACCAACTCCCTGATGTCTTTGTGAAGCAGCTAAATGCTGACTAGTTCGCTGGGAAGGGTACTGTTGCTACTGCTTGTGGCCCAGCTTGCCATGGAACTGGGTTTCTGTTTGTAATGCCCTCCGAACCAATCCACTATCTCCTTTCCCCTTTGGGGTTCTTGTCAGTGCTGCATTGACTCCATGACAGCCATGACAATATTTCAGCCTCTCTCCTTGTATTCTGCTTCACTGCAGAGGCTCCAGTGACTCACCCATTCTGTGTCTAGTCTCTTCCCCCATTTTCATCCTAATGTACTATTTTGACAGGTCTGTCAGAAGACTGCAGAGATTTCATTGCTCAAGCAGCAACTCCGAGATGCCCAGGAGGAGATGGCTCAGAAACTGGGTGAAATATTTAGTTTGAAAACACAGTTACGGGAGGCCCGAACAGAGTTGCAAGCCAAGGATTCACAATTGGCACAGCTGGAGGACTCTTTCCAGCCTGTACCAGAACGGGGCTCCCCTGTTCCTCCAAGAGACTCTCCCATGCAGGCTTGCCAGGACTTTTTGGGTTGTGAAACAGATGACTCGAAATGTCGGGGAATGCAAGGGGAGAGTGCAGAGGGTTCTGAGTGGCTCTGGGCAGAACTGCTGCGGGAGAGGCGCCAGGCCCAGCTGCAAGCTGCAACTTTTGAGCAGGAGCGGAAAACCTGGCAAGAGGAGAAAGAGAAGGTCCTGCGCTATCAGCGGGAGATTCAGGCCAGCTATATGGAGATGTACCACCGGAACCAGGCTCTGGAGAGGCAGCTGAGTGAATTCCGGCAGTTCCAAGCTGAGCCCAGAGGTATCAACTCAGAGTCACCTTGGATTGAGAGAGTCGAGTCCTCCAAGATCTGAACAGTACATGAGAGAGGCCCTGTGCTGGGATTGCTAAGGTGTAAAAGAACCACACTGCAGCATGGACCAAAGGGTTTGTTGGGGGAAACTATTATGCTGAAGAGCCCATTAAGCTGACCTGGAAGCTTCCTCTGTTGTAACATGCAGGATTTTGTAGGCTGCTGCCACCCATGGAATGAAATCCCAGCACGACTTCTGGTTTTTTGTCCGTCCAAGCTAGACTGTTGCCTCCCTACTACTGCCATCTCAGAGGGCAGGGCACACTTTCTGTATCCTGCTTTGTGCCCAGACTGGCACTGCATGTCAGGATTGAAGGTTTATTATTGTGGAATGTGAATGGCCATGATTGGAGCTGTAAGCACTCTTGATGAAGTACTAAAGAATGTGTAGAGGGCTCTTCCCCTACACAGTACATCCATACTGGGGCTGGGGCTTTGTCCCTGCACAGCTTCAGACTTGACCTGTTGTGTTGAGAGAAGGATGACAGCAAACCCACCTCAGCATGAACCTGCTATGTAGGAATTATTTTCTGTCCATCTGGCTTGTCCTTACGCTGTGGCAGATTCTGAAGCTCCGGTTGTAACATGGTTGTGTGTGCCTTGTATTCTAAGAGAGATCTTCCTGTGTATGGCTCCAGAATAGTTCCAGAAGCATAACTGGCCAATGAGGCAAATGCTCAGTGAAGGCCAAACCAGTTGGATTCAGCCACCCAAAAGGCCACGGGGCAGTGCCATCTGGGCCTGGGGCAGTTTCCCCATATGTGTGGCTGGGGTACTTTTGATACCTCTGTTTTGTTGCTGCTTGGTGCCCCAGTTCTGGATTTGAAGGTTCTTGCCAGAGTAATAATCCCTGCAATGGAAGCTCTTCCTGGCAACTCCTGGAATAAAACTCTGCCCTGGAATTTGTGACTCTCTGGCTATTGCTTTCTTTTTCCACTGTATTATTGTTTCAAAATTTTCTGGCACTGCAGACTTTGTAGCATTCATACCCTTGGCTGTTTCCAACAAGTAGGTAACATGCAAGCAGAAGCTGCTCTCCATTTAGTCCTCAGATTTTGGTCTGTTAGTCAGTGCAGCAAGAAATGGCGCAATGCATAGTCCAGAACTAGGACTACGTCTTCTCTCTTTTTTGTGCGGGGAGGCAGCATAGAAGATTGGTGGTGGTGATCAAAGGAAATCTTCCTGCAGCTTTTTCCAGAGTCCAGCGATAGAAAGTGAATAAATCTTACATTGAGAGGAGTCTGTACCTGCTTTACCACAGGATAAAGGAAGCAGAAAGTAAGGAGCTCAATCCCATACACAGCTGTTCATGCCCAAGCCAATTCATTTCAAGTGGCAAACTGTGCAAAGAAAGAAACAGACTTTTACAGAATAACTTAAGAGTCAAGTTAAAGATGGCCATAGTCTTTTGCAGGATGGCGGCATTGGCCTGCATTGAAAGACTTTTTATTCTGTGTGTTGCTCACTCCATTAAGTGAGGCTAGATGGCCGTCTTACCATGTTTCCAATGGCACCAACCTCTTCAAACCATATTTACATTTGAGATGCCATTGCTGTGTTGTGAAAATTACATATTAAAAATGCATGGTAACACCACCATGATGGGCTGTTTGCACATAATGACAATCCATGAACTGTTGGAGATCAGCAGGAAAGAGTAGGCATGCTGCCTCCAAGGGACCTACCTCCAATTTTACTCAGCAGCCCACAATCAACTCTTTTGTAGGATGCTGGGCATGATGCCCTTCTCGACCACTGGGTTGTTTAGGGGCTACACAACTCAGCAGATAAGTCAACAGTAGTCTTGGTTCATACACCACACTGAACAACCTACAAAAATGTTATCCTGGGTTGCTGAGTAAAAGTGCAAGCAGTGGGCATGCAGCAGGCCATGCTCCCACTTGTATATGGCAACCCATGGGCTGTTTAACCAGTGGCTTGTCATTGTGTGTGAACCAAGTAAGGGACCCTCAACAATTTTTATTATGTGTGCAGCTCTGGATAAAAGAAGTCTCGACACCCATAGGATTCAGCTTGAATTGTTTTACTCCATGGTTCCTACTGGAGTTGCTGTACTTTGTTGGTTGACAGAGCAGCTTTGAGGTATTATCTTTCTGCAACAATTTACTTTCTAGAAGAGAAAATTAGATTATACATGGCTGATGACTTGAAGCATCCTATAGGAGCATATATCATGCTGAGTGAGGAAAAATCCAGATTTATATAACCAATAGAGTCCTTCCCTTGCAAAATCTTCTCTAAGTTATTCTGATGTTGGAGAACCTAAGCCTATAATAGGTTTCTTGGTCTGATAAGATGCCCGAGTGTCATTGCAGCCCTGCCACCTCTAGAAACTTAATGCCATTATTTGATACTTGTGCTATGTACTTGGCCCCTGTTCAGGTCAGAGGCCCAAGTGAGTGAGTGATGGAAAGAAATGGCATAAACAGCCTTTGAAGTAGACTGCATAAGAACACTAGGCCTGGAGAGAGAATGTATCTCCTACTAACCCAGTTGGAATTGTCTTCCCTAGACCCAAGAACTGCAACAACTTGTTTTTCTTGTGGGACAGCTGTCTGTTGAAATATCTTGCTTGTTTCACTGTGCCCACACCAGTCCAGGGCTATGTTGGCGCCTTACTCCCAAATCCCCAGAACAGGTTTCCACCCATCAATTACAGCTTTGGGGAGTTGAGGAACAACCCGGGAGAGGGCGGCACCAAAACTTGGCAGCTAAGCTAGAAACCAAACCTCTGACTCCAATGCCACAGGGAAGCGTCAAGGCGTCACAGGCCGAAGCAGGAGTATTTGCCTCCTAGAGCCGCTGGACAAACCAGTTTCCTGAATTCCACAAGCCTGATTCATTCCCTCCAAGAGGCTGGGGCCCAGGCAGGTGCCACTGATAGGTGGAAAACTGCAGCTCTGATCCAAAAGCACTCGGAGCGCTCAGATATCTTGGGTTCTCTAGCCGTCTTGGCTTTGGCATGTGTTTTCTCCAAAGGCTTAATGATAGCAGCTTTTCCTTCTTGGCGTCCAGCCCAGAAATCAGGTCACTCAAGCTCCTATTTTAATTTTTCCTTCTAAAGGCCTCACACAAACTTCAAATCATTTCCTTCAGGCATGACTTTGTATCCAACTGGCCCAAAACAGGAGCATAGTCTGATGTACCTGTCTGGTGCATGTATTCTTCACTCTGGTCTATTTCACTAGTGGGCTTCTTCCTCATTGTCAGTTCTAATTTTTTTTATTTCCTAGTTCTCCAACTGAGTATAACCCTGCTCTCTTCTTTGGTATTTATATGCAGCAAATATGTGGACTCTGCATGCTTGTCACAAGCCAAAGTTTGGCTGCTGCATCATTTGTGTCAATGTTTATAGGACTGACAGCTACTTCTGCTCCAGTGTAAGTTTACTGGCATCAACTGACATATTCTCCTATTCAGAATGCTCAAATTCTAAGCATGTTCCAAAGTAATTCTACATGCCAGTCCAATCAAATTTTAATTAAGATGTAGTTTTAAAACACCAAGCCTACATGTTCATTGGTAAGGAGAAGAAGATTGTCTGCAGACTTCCAAGAAAAGACAGGGAGTTAAATGCAACGTTTTGTAGGTTCTGCTCATACATCAGGGTTTCCCTTGCCACCACCGCCACCCCCATGGTTGTCCTCTGTGTCTCCCCAACTCTGTTCCAGAGGGCCCTTCAATCCTCTGCAGCCAATCCACATAGTACATGAGGGGCTGTAGTGAGGGAAACAAAATTTGTTCTGTTGGAGGGGGCTAGCACTGGATGCAACCCATAATCCATATCTTAATAGTACATTGTACCCTTCATTTTTTACATAATGCCCCATTTGCTAAATACTTGAAGAAGCAATGAGTTAGATACCATGTGTGTTTTATGCATGTTGAATTATTGCTCTCTTATATTTCCCAGAAAGCAAAGTACCCACTGTCAATCTACCTCTGAAATAAATCCTTTGCAAACATCTTATTTTTCTTTATTACATTTATATACCACTCAATAGCCAAAAATCTCTGGACAGCTCACAGTAATTAAAACCGTAAAATACTATAAAAGTTTAGAACTACAATATAAAATTGAAGTAAATGCCAAAGTAAAACCTAGCAGCAGCAGCAAAGATTTAAAATACAGCAAGGATTTAAAACAATAGAGAGTGAAAGACTAAAGTGGCTGGGAAATTAGAGATTTTCACTTGGTGTTAAAAAGAGCACAATATAGGTGTCAGGTGAGCCTCTCTGGAAAGTTTATTCCAAAACCCAGGATGTCACAGCACAAAACCTAGAAGCCACTCAGCTCAATTCCTTTTGGCAGGGAACAATGAGGATGATCTTAGGGTCTGGGCGGGTGTGTGTGTGTGTGTAAGTAAAGTGATGATCTTTTAGGTAACCTGCCAAGCCATTTTGGGTTTTGAATGTTAATACCAGCATTTTGACTTGGGCCCATATATTGGTTGGCAGCCACTGCAGATGGTAAATACTGGTCTAAGATGAGAATGTTAGCCAGTCCTCATTAACAATCTTGCTGCTATAATTTGGACAAACTGAAATTTCCAGACTGTTTTCAGAGGAATCTAGCCAACATGTTACCAGTGTGGAGAACTGTAGCCAGCCTATGGTTAGCATTTCAGCCTAAGCTGATAAAAGGTACTCCATACTACTAGGTCCACCTGTGCCTCTAGTGACAAGGCTGGATTCAAGAGCACCCCCAAACTGCAAACCTGGTCCCTTAGGATGAGTGCAGTCCACTCCAGAACATGTTGAATGTTGGTCTGGAGTCAAGAAGTATGACATCCTTAGGTATCTCCAACTCTATTAAGGGAGACATGAGGTGGAGGCAGAAATTGGCTGCCTCTTCATTTTGAGCATGAGTTACCATTCGGCAGACAGCCATGGCTAAGCTAGTGCTTTTACTGGGCATAGTCTCCAGTATAAGAAGCACACTAATATGACTAGATTTTGAACAAGTTGGAACTCACTAATAATTGTGTTTATTTAAAAGAGGTATATGCCAACTTTCAAAACAAAGGTTTTCTAGAGCATTGTAAAAGCATTAAAATTCCACCAGTATGTAAAATAGTAAAACTAAAAGGGCGACATAAAACACCTCAAACCAGCAATCCTACATATAATTATACTCAATTATTAGCTTGTTTCTAAACTCAAGCATCACATTGAATCATGGTTTTAAGCTTTCTTTCACAGTCTGAGAAAAGAAGCCAGGTTCTACTTTTATGTATTTTCCCCCCAATTTATATCCTGCCTTTTTCCTACAAAGAGCTCAAGGCAGCTTACACCGTTCTTCTCCTCCATCTTATCCCCACAACAACAACCTGTGAGGTAGGTTGGGCTGAGAGTCTGTGACTGGCCCAAAGTCACCCAGTTGGCTCCATGGCCGAGTGGGGACTAGAACCCAGATCGCCTAAGTCCCAGTCCCATGCTCTTAACCACTACACCACACTGGCTTTTATTTTATTTCCATATATGCACTATTCTTCAGTTGTACCATTTCCCAAAGTGGCATAAACAAAATTAAAACAATAAAATAATATTATGAATGAAACTAAGGCACACAACACAAATGCATAAAGCAGGTGATTTTAAAAGGCCCAGCAAAGAGTTTAAAATTACTGGCCCTTTTTGAAAGGACTAATAATGCAGATCTGGGGGATGTTTTTCAGAAGAAAGTTCCACAAGGTGGGGCTCATTATGGAAAGAAAGTAATATCAGTAGATGAAAAGTTTGTTTCCCCTCAGAGGTGGATCCCACTGTAGGGCCCGATTGTTAGAGATCAGTCCTTGAAAGGTGAGGCATACAGAAGAATTTTCTGACTTATCCTGGCAAGGGCTTTTTAAAGCCTTAAAGATAAAAATCAACACTTAGGATTTAGCTTTGGAGGTAAATTGAAACCAATGGAGCTCCTGCAAATTGAGATTTATATGTGATTCTTGCATGAGATCTTGCACTTTAGATCAGCTGAAGTTTCCAAACCGCCTTCAAGGGCAGCCCATGTACCAGTGCAGAACAGCAATGCAGCTGAACTTTTGCTGTTTTTTAAAAAAAGAGTTGTACCATTCTATGTCTCCTGGAATTAAATAAAAGCAAACTTTTCAGAAAAAGCTGTATCACCAGTGGGAGCAATAACATAGGGACACGCCATTTGTCTCACTGGATACCGTTAGAGGAAGTACTGCTTCCCACAGACAAGCCCGTCAGTAGAACTACACCTGATTGGACTCCCAAACTACAAGTAGCTCCGATTCGTTACAATATGGTTCGTCCCAATTCTGCACGTCACATAGAATTTACCCCAGCCCAAAATAATGGTTCGTTCCACCCAGCTGTTGTTAGTTTATGGTTCACTCCAGGCACACCCTACGTAATTAGGATGGTTTGTTCCATCATTAGAGAACTTTAGCAGTTTTGCCGATATAGGACCGCACCAGGAAAGAAGGCCAAATTAATACCTAATTACCATTATACCATCCTTCAGTGAAGAAGACTGCCGACTCATTCCACGACTCTCAGGTTAGCTTTTTTTCGGTAGCTCCCCTTCTCCACCCTACTTGCCCTTCGAAATGGCTCCGACCAGCCTTTATCTACCGGTAAAGGAATGCACCATTGTTCTGCATGGGGGGCCTAGTCTATTTCGCGAGAGGAAGGTGTGACGGGGTCCTCACCTTGCCGGCATTTGCCGGCCGAGTTCCCGCAGCGAGTCGCGACACAGACGGGCCCTCAAAGTGTTCTCCCTAAGCCTTAGAGGGGCTACAAACGGGGCTCTCTACCTCCCCCGGTTCCTTCTTGCCAGTCCAGCGAGCCAGGATGGCGAGCCGGACTCCACCGTTGGCCTGACCCTCCGACCCGTCCAGCCTCCCGCCTATAAGGTCAGCCGCTGACCGGTCGGTGCTCTTCTCCTCCTCCTCCCGCCCCCAGGACGTGCGTGCCCAGCAGGCCGCGATCATGGAGCCGTGCGCCTGCGTGGAGAGGGAGCTGGACAAAGTGCTGCAGAAGTTCCTGTGCTACGGCCAGCACTGCGAGCGCGGCCTGGAGGAGCTGCTGCGCTACGTCAGCCAGCTGAGGGAGGAGCTCGGCACGGCAGGTACGTGAGGAGGCGTGGAAGCGGGAGGGTCTCGGCTCGGCCGCTCTGACCCGTGGCGCGCGAGTCTGGCTGAATGCGGGAGAATGGGAAGTCAGTCGGCTTCATTTCGGTGTTGCACCTCCTGGCCCTCCCTGCCCCCAAGGGGGGGGGGTGCGCTTGGGTAGCACCGCCTCAATTTTCTCCTCAGAGCAACCCTGTGAGGTACGTTAGGCTGATAGATGGCGCCTGCCGAAGGCCACCCACTGAGTGGATTTGGCTCTCTGGTGGATTTTTGCGATTATAGCTGACATCAGAAAGAGCCCTCTGACACTATTCAGGCTAACACGGTGATGTTGTGGCATAGCATTTCGTTTCAGACTAAATCCCACTTCATCAGATATGTGCAGTGTTAGCTAGCAAACATACTATTTGTACTTATTAATAATACTTAGAGCTTGCTATAATATTAAAATCACATTAAAATATGTTATTAAAATTATTCCAACTACAATAACAATAAAAAGTAATACAAGGAACTTTAAGATGGAACAGCATATAAAGTATGAGATCTTCCCACTCTTGGGATATGGAGTAAGTGGTGATTACAAAGCTGCAGTTAGTAATAATGCTACTAGTTTTGCTATGTTAATTACCACCAGGGGAGGAGAAGCTAGTAGATGAATGAGATCAAAATGAATAAATCTAGTTCAGCAATTTCATTCTGGAGGCTCCCTTTATGAAGTTATGTTTATCAACCACAGTTGTCTGGGGACAGCAACATGTTCTCCCATTGGCTTTTGACTCTTGTCCTTTCTGATGTCAGATTTATATCTGTTCTTTTGGGTAGAGGCTGACCTGTCTGTCTTGGTGACAGATGGTGGAGTATAGTGTGTTGAGGATGAGTGAGCCCCAGATAGTACTACTGATGCTAGATCCTTTCAAAGATCAGGTGCTTAGTTCACATCTGTTTTGGTGGTGGTTCTTGTTACTTTGTTGGGTCCAGTTATTGAATGTCTGTCTCAAATGGCACATTGCTGGTCCTAAGGTCTGTGAGAATGGGCCTACCATCTCAGACCTGTGCAGTTTATAGATAGCTGAGGGTATTTGTGTGTTAATAGCATTTTTACCTAACTATTTTAATAGCTAACTGTGTTAACATTTTCATCCAACTGTTCATTTGAAAATGGCTTCTGGAATGGCGAACAAAAATTGATATTAAAATAGTCTGACTTCAGATTTAGAATCCAAAAGGCACAACACAAAAAAGGGAGGGAGGAGGGTAAAAGGCAAAACGTTGGCACTAGTTCTTAGTTTCATTGCTCTTGACTTTTTTTCTGGCAGACAAGCGCAAAACAAGCTTCCTATGCCTGTTCTTTTGCTGGCTTATGTATGGGACTTGGTTGTGCTCCTTCTTGCAGTGATAATCTTCCTAAGAGGAGGAGGATACAGCCTCCCAGTACTGTACCATTGGTTCTCTGGTTGATGGATGAGGCTAGAGTCTGCAGTCCCAGGAGATATGTTGTTACTGAGAACTGACATTGACACCAGGTTGAGTTCTGTCACTTCCCCTTCTGGACAAGTCCTGTAGTTTCAGTCTTCTGCTCCTTGGTACCAATCTGGCATTGTCAAAAATGTTTCCTGACTGCCTTGAGTGGTGGCGGGGGGGAGGTTAGTTCATTTAAGAAATAAATTACATATGAGCCCCTGTCCAAAGAACTGGATCAAAAGTTGATTGTGTTGTAAACATGACTACAGAGAGTGAAGCATGTGGTGTGCTCTAGGTGATAGCTGGAAAACATGCAGCTGTATGGAAGCAATCGATGGGCTTCTGTGTCCCTGTGGCTTCTTGCTGTAATTTCATAGTGTGAGTAGCTATGGAAACCAGCTCATTTCCTGAAATTCTGGGTAGAATTTTTGAAGGGCCTGTGGATTCAGATGTATGTTGGGTAGAGGAGAGCTGTTTGGAACAGAAGAAGTGATGATCTAAGGCAGCCAAAAACATGTTGCCATGAAGTGGAGTTGTGGTGTGGCCATGGCACTGACCATTCAAGTGGTTCCCAAATCTGAAATAACGATGGGCAGTGCTGCTGTAGTACCTTCTGGTGGCTTATAGTCCAATCTTTGTGGGGTAGTGCACACAACAGCCATTTCCGACCAGGTATTCTCAAGATGTGTTGGTCTACAACTTCCATCATCTCTGGCTAGTGTGGCCACATTTCTGGAAGACACTCAGTATATCGAAGCTTCCTGAGAAAATCTGAGACAAAGTTGACTCAAATTTATTGTTGACTCTGGCTGTATTTGTTTAGGACTTAGTTGGAATCTAGGTGAAAACCATCACGTTAGATGCTGATTACTATTATTTGCTATGCTGACACCAATTACAACTATTATTCATGATGATAGTGCTTATCTAACATGCAGCTGAGCTCAGCACGGTAAGGTTAGGCTGTACCTGTTGCTTCTCATAGTGGAAGAGAGAATGTATCTTGTTGCTTCAGTATGTTTCCCCACTCAGTTTTCTCATGCCAGATGTTTGATTTATTTGTGAGCAGTAGGGTTTCCACAGTTATTCCTACTATTTTTGCTCTGGAAAAGCAGTGGGTAAAGTCTTCCTGCCCTCACTCCCTTGCTCCACACTTTATTGCTATTCCTACGGTTACTCTTGGGAGAAAACTTTTAGTTAATACCTGAAGAGGACCAGTTGTTGGTAAAAAAGAGCCGTTTCAGATCAAAGTTGTAAGTGAGTGATGTGAAGAGCTTGTTTTATAAGGACTATGTACTTGACCTGAATGATGATATTGATGCCTTTCTTACTACAGCCTTGCAACGGACACCACTGTCTGCTACTCTCTCTTTGGTTATGTCACAGTGCTGTAAGAAAATCAAGGACACTGTGCAGAACCTTGCTTCAGACCACAAAGATATTCATAGCAGCATCTCTCGGGTGGGCAAAGCAATTGACCGAGTGAGTAACTCCACCAACTTGGTTTGTGTTTCAGGAAGAACAAACTGGATCCTTCCTGAGCAGTGAGAGCAAACGTCAGGCCAAAGTGTATCTTGTATGTGCACAGGCATCCAGCACTGTATGACTAGTGAAATGTGCATTGTCTTGTCTACTGTTGTCCTTTGGCAGCACCCACACTGTGGTCAGGATGACTTGTTTCAATTGATAAACATCTACCCAGTGCTTTTTTTGTAAAAAAAAAAAAAAAAAAAGGTGCCAGAACTCATGTCTTGGGGTCACACTTTTACACGATGGTCGCTGCCGGCAGTAAGCACTCACACGACCATGGGCCGAACAAGCCACTTCCATGGGCCACCTGAGGTCCAGACTGGAGGGTGCCCTCCTGTGCTTTAGAGGCATAAACAAGCCCTGTGCCACTCTCTGAAAATCACCTTGATTGTGTAAACAAAACGGGGGTGGTGAGTGAGGGCAAATGGGCAGCTGAGTGCTCTTATGTCCTCTTGTAACAGGACAAAATGGTGGAGGTGGTGGACCAAAGGAGGGAAGGCTGCGGCTTTCCAGGTGATGCTGGACTACAGTTCTCATCTTCCCCCTCCATTAGCAAACTTGTCTCAAACTAATGGAGCCCAGCAACATCTGGATGGCCACAAGCAAACCGCCCCCGCTGCAGAGTCTCTCAATTGGCTGGGCTCTAACATTTCAGACCGCAGGGGGGTTTGTGTGCACGCATGCAAGAAAGTGAATGTATGGCTGTTCCCTTGCATCATTCTCAAGCTCGGAGTACAGCAGAAGCACCTGCAGCCTCCCCCACACACACCGTCCAACATTGCTGGGCTATAATTTCCATCAGCCCCAACCAGCCTACCCGCTGGCAAAGTAAGATGGGAGTAGCAATTCCCCAGATCTGGAGGGTTGCAAGTTCCCCAGCACGGGGCAAGATCTTCTCAGTGTGGCCTCCCCCCATTACGGTTCTCTCTGGGAGTGAAATGATTTCACTTCCTGCAAAGGAAATGCCGTCCCGGGAGGGTAGCAGGCGCTCCCCAGAGACTGGCCGTCTGGATGCAGCCTACAAGGCCCAAGCTGCCAGGATGGGGGAAGGTGAGGAGGTGACCCTCGTCCACAGAAAGCGGGCTGGGAGCAGACCTGGGCAGAGCAGGCGGGCTGTCCTGGCAGGGAGACCGCAAGGCATGGAAAGCAGAGAGTAGGGGAGGCGGCTGTTTATTGGAGAAGAGGTCTGGGCCCCACCGGGGCGGGAGATGGGAATGCCAAATAAGAAAAGCTTCGGCAGGAGAAGGGGAAAGACCAGGGCAGCGCCGACACACAAGCAGCCCACAGGCACTATGTTAATGATTTTTGCTGCCGATCTGCCGCGCCCTGTGATTCACAATCACTTGGAAAAATCTGTCAAAAAAAGGTGCCGGAATACTGTTCCCGTGCATTCTATTACAAAAAAAGCCCTGCATCTACCTATTCTTCTACAATGGTGGGTTGTTGCTCTCTTCACAGAAAATGTTCATTAGAAAGGGGGCTTGTTCTTGGGTATCTTGGAAGCAAGGGGTAACCTATTCACTTTTGGCTTTGGCCCCGTTCACCACTAACATTTGACCCCCACAACCAATAACCCACAGGGAATATAAACTCTTGACAAATTAGGCTTTCTTTGTCTTAGACTTATGACAAGGAGGGAGACATTTTCAACTTTTTATAGTGAATATGGCTAAAATCTTAAGAGAGCTCCAATTTCCAGGCAGGTACTATCTAAGTTTTCTTTCTAGACTGTGTTGACCAATTCATGTAATGATTTGCCTTTTTTCTGCCCTTACTGGTATAACAAATTGCTTTTCAGTTTGCAAGAAATCCATTAAGTGATTTTGCCCCCATTTTAAGTCAAAAGTGAAATGTTCCTGGCAAGAGCTAGGCCAACAGTAAGCTGCTTGAACAGAAACCAGTAGATTGTAGTCATTGCATCAGTAAAGAACCAAATGAAAGAAGTTGTCCTAAGTTAAGGACTGGACATGGAGTCACTATCTAGCAGCATCTGTTAATGAGGATATTCCACTCCTGTGCATGCTTTATGGAATCACAGAACAGTAGAGTTGGAAGAGGCCAAGAAGGCCACTGGGTCCAACTCCCTCCTGTTGCAGGACATCAATTTACATCATCTCACGGAGATGACTGTCCAATTTCACATTGAATGTCTCCAGTGTGGGAGATCCCATGACCTCTTTAGGCAACTGGTTCCACTGTTGTATTGCTCTGGCACTGAGGAAACTTTTCCTGGTATCTAGCCTGAACCTGGATTGTCACAGCTTGAGTTGATTATTCTGTGTCCTACACTCTGCTATCGGTGAGAAGAGATCTTGACCTTCCTCTTTGTGACAGCCTTTGAGGTACTTACAGAGGGAACAAATGAATGTTCTGTATTGGCAGTAAATGAGTATGTGCTGCAATATGGCCTAGCTGCTGCTGTACACAAGCTTCACTTAGAACTGTTTCCTTGCAGCTACTGCATAATTCACTCTAATCTGTAATCACAGCTGGTAGTGGACCTGGTCTCATAGAAAACCAGTTATTTCATTGCAATTTGAAGCACCCAGAGGGGAGGGGGCTTCCCTGAGCACCTAGGAATGGCTGACTTCCTGTTCTGTTCCATTCTAGACTTTTGATGCTGACTTGTGTGGTATTGTCCCTGCTATGGTTTGGGAGTCCCAGGAGAAGCAGATCTTGGTTCTGGCGATTATAGAACACCTCTATCAACAAGGGATGCTGGGAGTTGCTGAGGAACTGTGTCAGGTACTAATTTTTAGGAGGCAGAAATAGTTGTGCAAGATCTCTAGAAGCGGATAACAACAGCTTTACACTGTGTGTAAATGGTTTTGGGTACTACTTGGTGCTGGCCTTTCAGTTATGCTGGACAGTGACTTTGCTTCTTGTAGTAGCCTGGCTCTGCCAGCCAGCCAGTTCTCCAGCAAAGAGCAGCTAACAACCTACTCTGCCTGATCAACCCCTCTAGCCTATAAAGATGGATCCTTACTTGACACTCAATCTGCAGATAATTCAGTTTCCCCCTCTTGCCTGTTCCCCTTTTTTGAGAAGGGGACAGATATGTTCTCAAATCAATTTCTGGATTTTCCTTCCACAGGAATCCACTCTGAACGTGGATATAGCCTTCAAAAAACCGTTCTTGGAACTTAACAGCATATTGGAAGCACTGCACAAACAGGACCTGGAGCCAGCTCTGAGGTAAGAGCAAAGGGTTATACAAGCCTTTTCTCCTCGGGCTTCCATTTCTTCTTGTACTGCACTTCCTAGCGAAATGGTTCTAGCCACCTGAGTTTGCCTTATTCTCCATGTATACTAGCAAGTGGTAGCCTTCTTTGTAGTCATTTGCTAAAACTAAAACTGCACTTGCTTTGCTTCTATTAATTCTTACCCTGCTAGTTCTTAGCCCAAAGAATAACGACATGCTGGCTCTGCTTTTGTTATCACCAGTAATCTGTCTGAGCCCACTCTGTCCACAAATACATAATTAAGATTGGTGCATTCCTTTTTACTATGACAACTACTGCCGAACCAACTTTCTCTGACTGTGGTACTAAACAGTGTTGGCTCTTTCCCAGTTGGGCAATCTTCCACAGACAGCAGCTGGCAGAACTGAACAGCTCTCTGGAGTTCCGGCTGCATCGGCTCCACTTCATCAGACTCCTTGCTGGTGGTCCAGGCAAGGAGCTGGAAGCCCTGAGTTATGCCCGCCACTTCCAGCCCTTTGCTCATCTACATCAACAAGGTGAGGCTGTTCCCAGGAACTTCTTCTGGCACTTGGTTTCTCAGCAGAACTCTTGGTGGAAGCTGATCTTTCTTTCCTGGGTCTGCTGCTGTGATAAACCCATTAGGAGTGACTTTGGCCAGTGGTTCCCAGGACCTTATAGGCCCAAGTTTGTTCCTGCAAGGAAGTCCATAAGTGCTGAAGATGTTGGAGTTCCCTCCTTCTTTTTTTAGTAGGGGATGGTCTTGACTCTTGGGGGTTCCCTTGATTGCAAACAAGGGAGTTGATTTCACTGTTCCGTGCCATTATCTTATAATTGAGTACTTAACAGGCCAACCCACTGTATTAGTGACAGCATGTTAACATAAGTGATGCTTCCTTTAATTGTTGCTGTGCAGAGATTCAGGTGATGATGGGCAGCCTAGTATACCTGCGCTTGGGCCTTAAGAATTCCCCCTACAGGCACCTGCTGGACGATAGTCACTGGACTGACATTTGTGAGACTTTCACTCGTGATGCCTGCTCCCTGTTGGGACTCTCAGTGGAGTCACCTCTGAGTGTCAGGTAAAGCTTTATACAGGGGGTGGGTGGCTGGGGGTGGAGTGGGGCAGGGCATTGCTGATCTCCCTCTTCTCTCTGCAGTTTTGCTGCCGGGTGTGTAGCACTGCCAGTGCTGATGAACATCAAGGCTGTGATTGAGCAGAGGCAGTGTGCGGGCGTGTGGAGCCACAAGGACGAACTACCTGTGAGTGCCTGTCTCCTTCTGGGGAAGGCTGCTCTTCTGCAACAGCTGTAGGGTGAGTTTGGGCATCTTCTTGCAGAGCGTCAAGCCTGATGTTCACCTCTTCTTTGCTCCTAACAGATTGAAATTGAATTAGGGATGAAGTGCTGGTACCACTCAGTCTTTGCATGTCCCATCCTGCGGCAGCAAACAACAGATTCCAACCCACCTATGAAACTAATCTGTGGGCATGTTATTTCTCGAGATGCTCTCAACAAACTCATCAATGGAGGAAAGTGAGTGATTTTTTTCTAGCCGCTTGCTCTGCTTTACTCTGGGATGACCCGACTGGATCAAATGCCCACCCTATCTACATTTAAGAAGTCTCTTCTAGGGCAGTTGCTCCTTTTCATTCAGAATCTTGGCTTCAATGTGACAGCTGCGGCTGCTGCAGTTTGCTGCCCCCTGCTGGTTAACAGGCAGTACAGTAACTACAGAGGATGTCAGTGCTGCTCTGTAGCCTTGGAAGTACAGATCAGCAACTAGCATTCTCAGGGCCAAATCAGATCGCTTGTATGTAAAAGGGGTAGGTGAACATGACAGCAGGACTTGCTTGACAGCCTGGCAAGTTTGAGGCTAGGCCAGCGTCCTGCACTCCAGCTTCAAGGTGGGTCCTCTTGTAAAACCAGCTCCTGTCCAACATTCTGAGATCTTACTTCTGATCCTTCTTTGTCACTTTCTTCAGGCTGAAGTGTCCATATTGCCCCATGGAGCAGAACCCAGCTGATGGAAAACGCCTCATCTTTTGATAATGGCAGACCCTGGGGATGCCCTTGCAAAAATGGGCAGTTGGGACAATACTCAGCAGGCGGTGTCATCTACAGCATCCTGCTTGAAAACAGTATTTGCCACTGTAGGTATAGAAGTGAATTGTAGCCCAGTGAGCTACAGGAGATCACTCTCGTGTAAGGCAGGGCACAGGGCTCTACACTCTTGCCACCATACAACTTTAGCAATCCCCGCTGAAGGCTTCAGGGGACAGTACACACCTTTGCCCTCCTCTGAGGCAGAGGCAGTTCTTCTGTTCCTTGTTGGGGTTGTGCCATAAACAGTAAGCAAAGAGCTGCTGACACCATTTTTAATTAAGATTTATTTTGAAGTCTTTTTCCGTTTCAATCAGTTTGACGGGAGAGGTGAAGGAGTTAGACCTTCCTAGCTTAGACCTTCTACTGCTTTGGGAAGAAATTTCTGAAAGATGGATTATATCTAACTTCAGTCAGAAAATTCATGGTGGAACTCTGCCTGCTGCTATTTTGAAGAAAACTTTAAAGTAGGTAGGAAAAGAAATGGGGACAACAGCAGATCTGTAGGCATTACTAAAAGTGGTGTTTGGGTCAGCCTCTACATCCAGTATGACTCTTCAGAAAACAAGGTAGGAATAAATAAGATGTAATGCTTCCTGAGAGAAGAATGCCTCCCATTTGGAGAGCTAGCACAGTGATAAAAACACTGCATGGAAAAACCTTATATAAAGATGATATATTAGCATCCTACTGCTATATTATTTTGACTAGGGGTAGCAAGACACAACCAAACTGTGTCAGTAAATGAAAGTTATAATTACTCCTACAGGATGAGAAAGTTGGTACAATGGTTGATATAGAAGACACCTTAAAGTAGGCATGTTGCTTATTATATTAAAAATAGAAGGCAGATTTCCCCTCTTTTGATTACTCATAACTCTTGATACAGTGATAGAAGGGGTCTGTAATACAGAGGTATGGGATACAGATTCTAAACAAGGATCATCAGTAATACATCTTTGGAAATAGATGACAGTAAACACCAAAACCACTGGCAAATTTGATAAATGCCTGCATTTGCTGTCCTCATGCACTAAATTTCAAGAGCACAGCCTGCTCCCTTTATTGAAAAGAATAACAGCTATTTAAAAACAACTGTGAAGAGGTACAGTGGGAATTGGAAAGCTACAGAAACAAGCAAGTGCCTACAACTGGCATTTTAACAAAATTAAGTAGGAACTTAGGGGTGCCATTTTTGGAGTAAATACCTGCATTGGCCTCGGGCAAGAGGCCCTTAAAAGATGACATTACTAATGCCACCATAGCTCTTTGACATCAACGAGGGCCTTTCACACTGCATGTGATTTTTTTCCCCTTAGCAACAGCTATGACCAGGGATGGATGGCATGGAAATATACTGAAATAAAATTCTCTTCAGATGACTTAGTGGACTGGTTTTTGGTGTTACTGTATTTAAAACCAGAAAAAAATTGTTTAACAGATACCTTACACAAAGATAATTTTCAAAGCTTCCTAACAGCATATGATTGCTATGGAGGTATCTATTAGCCAAGACACTTCAAGCAGGCAAATACCATGTAAGAGTATAGTATAATTAATTGAAACTTAAAGAAATTTATTACAAATATTTTAATAATGTCCATGTTCATCTGTCCTTTCTCTCCTTCTACCCCCCTCCCCCCAGGCTCCATGAGATGCTCCTTAGCAGCTACTTAACACAGGCTGGTTAAATTCACTGCAAATAGGCATTTTCTGGAACAGTTGCTTAGTTTGTAATGGTTCCTTGAAATGGGCCTAAGGCATAGATTACTGGTAGTACTTGCTACAGTATTCTTCACCTAAACCCACCAAATAGCACCAGCTCTCATCTGAATGTTCAACTGCACAGAATCTGGCCTAATTAAGCCAGAACAGCATCTCTCGGTGATCTTCACAAAGGAAGGGGAAGAGCCTCAACCTCTTCTAAACACTCATCATAGGCTTCCTGATAGTCCTCGTGGGCCTTGATCATGATAACGCAAGTTGGGCGTTTTGAACCTGCAGCTGCTCCCAGGTCCTGAAAGAAGAAACAGGAAACAGCATTCAGTTGCCTGGTTCATATATAACTTTACCTTTTATTCATAACTTGTGTATGAATACATTTCCACTGTGAAGCAGAAGACTATGTGCCAAGTCATATAGCCATATTAGATGGTGCAAGTGGAGGGTATCCGGTGTCCTAGAGTATGACTAGACAGATTTCTTCCTAGCATATAAGGATGCAGAGCTCCCTCCTATAAAGAACAGCTAAGGAAAATGCATTGTAGAAGTCTTGAAATAGGAGCCACATTTCAGCAATGACATGCAATATATATATATTGTATCAAAAAGCATGTGACAATTTGCAACTGAAATTTGGTATGTTGGGGGCTTTTACTAAACAAAAGAACATTACAAGCTCAGACACTATAGATGCAGGGAAGAGACAGTTGAGGATTCTTTTGTCACTAGACTGTTATCCCTTCCTTGCAGAAACAGTCTCTGAGCCCAGACCAGAAAGGAGCTATTAGTGTCTATTCTGTTTAACTCTCAACTGGTTCCTCAGGGAAACTCTGAGCTCAGCACAAGTTAGTTTACCTGTTACTTACTATTCATACAACAGCAATATTACCATGACTATTGGTGGCTATTCTCTGTGGGTTTTATGTCTATGATGCGTGGAGCTTCATCTGGGAAAGCTCGGTAACTGAAGAATTCTGGTGGGAAGCCTCACCCATCATTCCTGTGCACATCACCACCATTGTACAACTGCTTAAGTCTGCTGAAATAAGGCTGTAATGGTCTGTAGCCTAAACACATGATAGATTCCTCCTGTTCGATTTGATTACTACTGGTATGTTACTATACAGTGGTACCTTGGCTCACAAACACCTTGACAACCAAATCGGGTCGCGAACAAAAATTTCATGAAAATTTTGATTTGGGTTGCGAACTCTGCATTGGGTGGCAACCAAGATATGGCCACAATCCCAGTTGTGTTCGTGCAGGGAAGACGTGCGTGATCATGGGTGTGCTCCTGCAGGAAAGATGTGCGCAGCACAGCACAGCTGTGATCACGCACGTCTTCCCTGCACGAACGCAACTGGGGTTGTGGCCATCTCCCCGCTCGGGGAGCAGAGGGGAGATGGCTGTGATAGCACCCATCTTTCCTGCAGGAGCGTGCCCGTGCCAGGATTTCTTTGAGAAGCACCACCCCAACATAACTGTAACGGACAGAGCACTGAATCTGATGCATGATAACATGGTCTCATTTCCAGAGGGTTATGCAGTGCAGGAAAAAAGTGACTAGAGACAGATTTTTCACCAAAATTGACCCTGCAGCTAAGAGACAAGGAAGAGAGGAAATCCCTGAAAGAGATCTCCCCAATGTCCTTATGGAGGGAGATGCTCCCTTAAAACAATAACCTCCCCCACACCTAGGTTAGTGTTCTCCACTGTGCTGTACAGTACTTGGTTGTTCTTTGTCACTTCATTTCACATTTTTCTGATAAAAAAAATAGTTACAGAACGGATTTACCTTATTTACATTGAACCTTATGGGGAAATTTGACTTGGCTCACAACCAAAAACTGGCTCACAACCAAAGTCGTGGAATGGATTAAGTTTGTGAGCCAAGGTACCACTGTATTTTGCAGCTGACAGTCCTGCTTCTGTGACACATAAGTAAAGGTGAAAAGGGATTCATAACCCTGCCACACAGCTTTGTCCAGAACTAAAATCTGTAGCACTGGTACATCTAGCAATCACGATTTCCAAGTGCAATTTAATACTGAAAGGAAGACATACAATTTATACTAAAGGATATTTCCCTTAGCAAGGATCAGATGAGCGAACAGGAATAACAGGTACGTTTCATAGAATCCTCATTTCCCATCCCACATGTAGTCCCCCACTCACAGCCCACAAGGAAGACACCTTGTTTTCCCCAACCCCAAATTACCGTTTTGGAGGGAATATAGACATATGGAAGGCTCCTATCTTCACACATGATGGGGATATGGCAATAAACATCAATAGGTAATGTGTCACCTGCAAGAACTGTGATCCTAAGAGGGAGATACAACTGCATTAGGAAATGAAATACTGGATCTATTAATAGAGGTCTAATAGAAAAGAAACAGAGGTCTATTAATCTCTCTAATTTGCATAATGAGCTAATTTGCATAATGAGCATAATGAGCATAACCCTATGCACTCTTACTATCAGGGCATACTTCTGAATACGATTGGATTACCTTGGTCTTTGCCAGTGGTTCCCAAGCTTTTTCAGGCTGCCATGCCCTTGCCTCTTGGGTAACAACCCTAGCTCCCCCCTCCCCCGTCTCTTTTCATTAGGTCTATTGCTCTAATGCAAATGTTTAAAACCACCAATCACCACCCCTCAATCTTTCCAACTCTGGGAATCATTGGTCTTTGCAAATCATATATGTGCAAAGAGTTCTTAAACATTCAGATAAAAGTCTTATAACACCTTTACAAATGTACAATTTACTGTGGTATAAATTTCCAAATGCCAAGGTTTACTTCATTGGACAGATACTTCAAGTGTTATTCTCTTTTGAGAGGGAGGACACACACACACACACACACGCGCGCGCACGATAGGAGAAAGTATTTCAAAGTGAGGCAAGGAGTTCCAGCAATGTAAGAGGTAGGCATGCATGCTACTATGTGAAATCAAATGAAAACAGGGTCAATGAAAAGGGCTAACACAGTCCATAGGGTTGTTAAAAATAAATTACTTAAGATCTTGCTCATAATTACGAGCAAGACACTCTTCTGTTTATCTCAACAGGATTGCTTCTGTGATGCTGCTGCCAGTTTGATAATCACGAAAAGCAGTCCATGAAAAGTAGACAAGTATACCAAACCAGAGGGAGAGATTTGATTTCTGGGCTTGTAACAGCCAGCAGGAAATTTTCCAAGAAACGCAGTCTGTACTGGTCCCAATTCCCTGCCTTGAAGTTTGTTTTTAAAATAAGTATGTTCCCTCTCCCCATACAGATATTCAAACAGGCAGAGAGAAAAACAGGGTTCATTCATCAGTATCGGAGCACTTCATCTAGACCAGGCATGTCCAAAGTCCAGCCCAGGGGCCAATTGCGGCCCGTTTTCAAATTTTGAGCAGCCCGCAGCCTCTTCTTCCCGCCGGCTCAGCCTGTCACTCATCCCCGCTGGCCAGCATTTTTCCCTTCACCGCACAGCGGTTCCCACAGCTGTCCCCTGCTGCCTCCTGCTCCTTCAAGGCTGGTGGTTATATTTCACCAGAAGATGGCAGTAGACCTGAGTCAGCACTCTCGCTGCATGACCCTTGTGACACAAGGCTTGTGTGCCCATTTCTAAAATGAGCCTGTGAGTCAAATGAAAATGCCACAAAGGCAAGCTACGAGGTGGCAACGCTGATTGCCAAGCACTGCAAACCTTTTACTGAGGGTGAATTTATTAAAGACTGCGTGATGAAAATGGTGGAGAAAATTTGTCCTGAAAAGAAGCAAGAGTTTGCCAATGTTTGCCTGGCTCGTAACACTGTGGTACAGAGAATTGAAGACATTTCATCTGATATTAAGAGACAGAGGCAAAAGGAGTGGAGTTCGACTTTTTTTCGTTAGCCTGTGACGAAAGCACGGATGCATCTGATACCGCTCAGTTATTGATTTTTTTGAGAGGAGCGGACAGTGACATGAACGTGAGTGAAGAGATACTTGACCTCCAGAGCCTTAAGGACCAGACAAGAGGAAGATTTATTTGTTTCTGTTTGTTCCACCGTAGATGACATGAAACTACCGTGGAATAAAGTCACTGGGATTATTACGGATGGCGCACCTGCCATGGCTGGCGAGCGAAGTGGATTATCAACCCTAGTCTGTAACAAAGTCAGCGAAGAAGGAGGCAAAGCTATAAAACTCCACTGTATTATTCACCAACAAGTTCTCTGTGCCAAACATCTGATATATGATCATGTTATGAAAGCGGTGATAAAGGCTATTAATTATATTTGCTCCAAAGCCCTGTGCCACCACCAGTTTCAACAATTTCTACTTGACATCCAGGCTGAATACAGAGATGTTGTGTATCACAACGAGGTAAGATGGCTCAGTTGGGGGTCTGCACTGCAGCACTTCTACTCTCTTAGGGAGGAAATCGGACAATTCTTGGCAAAAAAGAGACAACTGATGCCAGAGCTATCTGATCCTGTTTGGCTCGCTGATTTTGGATTTTTAGTTGACATAACACAACATCTGAACGTGCTGAACTCAAGCCTTCAGGGGCAAAATGCAGTGGTAAGCCAACTGTATTCACATATCAAAGCCTTTGGGACCAAGCTGCTACTTTTCCAAAGGCACCTGTCACAAACACAGTCCAATACCACACATCATTGCAGGAAATAATGACCAGTTTTCCACAGAACAATATGAGTGCACAAATAAGGAGGTATGAAGCAGACACCTCATCTCTGGCTGAGGAGTTTCAACAGTGCTTTCGGGATTTTGCAGCTACTGACAAGGAGATCACGCTTTTTTCATCTCCTTTCTCTGTAGACCCTGATGACGCTCCAGACCACCTGCAGCTGGAGCTCACTGAGCTGCAGTGTGATAACGAATGTTGCAGTCAGCACCAACAGCTCCCTCTTGTCAACTTTTACCACCAGCTGGATAAAGACAGGTTCCAAGAGATTCGAACATGTGCTAAGAAAATGCTGACTTGTTTGGTTCGACATACTTGTGCGAGAAGACATTCTCGGTTATGAATATTAACAAGAACCGTGTGAGGACGAGACTAAGTGACTTTCACCTGCGTGACATCTAGCGCATCAAAACCACTGTTTTTCAGCCAGACCTGGCCTATATAATACAGTTGAGATCTCAGTATCACCCTTCACATTAGTGCAGTTATTTGTTTAGTCTTTCATAAAATAGTTCATTTGCATTTAATGTTAATGGTTCAAAGAATGTCAGGCTGAATGGTCGGCCCCCACACATTTTCACCTCGCCAAATCTGACCCTCCTTGCAAAAAGGTTGGACACCCCTGATCTAGACTCTAGAGCTCCAAGTTCAAGGCCAGCTTTCGGACTGATAGTAGCAGTCACAAGACAGGGAAACAGTACCAAGCGTTATAAAGCGCGTGGCGAACAGCACCGTGGGCGCTTACCCCTTCTCGCCTTTGTTGATGAATTTCTGGACCTCTTTCACGCCACGCCGGATCTGTTTAACCTTTGATGCTGCAAGTCAAGCGGGAGAATTCTTAGCACGAAACCCAGGAGCGGACCCGACAGCCAGCCCTGGAAGGGGGGCTTGCCTCTCCAGCACCCCCCCCATAGGATACCGCACGCACCTTTCTTGATACACTTGTACAGTTTGCGCGTGAGCTTGCGCGAGGCCAGCGGCCGCGCGATCGCGTTAACGTTCTCCACCAGCTCGTGATACGACCGCTCCGGGGTCGCTTCAGCCTCCGGCGCTTCCCCCGATTCCTGGTGCTTGACTCGACCCATCGCCGCCCCAGCTGAAGCTCCACCAAACCACGCGCTCGCCCGCCACTTCCACTTCGGCGCTAGACCAGGGCACGCTGGGAAAAGAAGCGGCGATCAAAAGTGGGCGGGGAAAATGCTCTTGATTACCACCGCTCGGCCAATTCCTCTCCCGTCTCCTTAATCAGCCAATGAGAAAGCCTTTTGTGATCCGGAGAGAGTAATTCCATCGCAGCCTTGGACTTCTTTCCCGGCAGGCACCGCGCTCAGGAAGATGGCGGCGGGGACGGGTAGTGAGTGATGGTCTTTCGTTTGGGGTGGAGGACTATAGTTGGGTTAGGGGTACCCTCCTCACCTACCTCTTCGTTTTTATGTATTAAGCCGCCTGTACCTTTAAAAGTTAGCTAAAAGGCTGCAAGCGTTCAGTGTAGCTTCTAAACACGGCATTCTGTAACGTCATATCCTTTGTCGGATGGATAGCTACCTGTGGCGCAACTTTTAGAAACAAGCCTCTTGTCTCTTCTCCCTTCGCACCTCTGTAGCAAATCTTACGAAGGGGTTGGCTCTTATGAGGTGGTTTGTCCAGTTCTCAGATGATGGCTCACTTTTCCCCTAAGTTAGGATACCTGGGAATAGCAATCTAGGAAGCAAGTCAGATCTCTGGTCCATCTGGCTCAGTATTCGCTACCTTAACTAGCAGTGGTTTTCAAGGGTATCAGGCAAAAAGCTATTCTACCTAGAGAATGAACTTGAGATCTTTTGCATGCCACACAATGCTCTGCCAGTGAGCTATGGCAGGTAGTGATTTCCTCTAGAAGACCATGGGACATTTTCAGGAGATGCTGTCTAGCTGGCTATGGAGGCTGCAGTAAGTCTGAGCACCATCCAAGTGTGTTGGGAGTTGTATTTCCCCACATCTGGTGGGTGCTCAGTTGGGGGAAGGCTGCTATAGGGGCTTGGGAATTAGTCTGTGAGGACTGCAGTATATTTGAACTGAGAAAGTATATTTGAGAAAGATTTCTTTCTGAGGATGTGGGCAGGTTGCAACATGGCAATTTTCATTTTATTTTTCCATGCAGAGCACAAGTTGCTGAGTGCTGGACCCACAGAACCGTGGTCTATCCGGGAAAAGCTATGTTTGGCTTCTTCTGTCATGCGGAGTGGAGACCAGAACTGGTACGTGGTGTAGAGCTGATGTTACAAAACCCTGTTGCTAAATTTTGTTCATATTAGTGTGTTGGATCACCAGAATTGATTTGTGGTAGTGATTATTTCAAACATTAGATATATTTAAATGCTGTTACTTATCTTACCTTTATACATATTGAAAAACTGTGAAAAGCATAACTGTAGCATCATGGAAAATAACTTAATATAAAAAACAACTCAGAACAGTCCTTTCCATTGGAAACCCCCAAACTTGCAAGTATCTGGTCATCCAGTGCACGGTAGAAAGTGATCTTTGCACCCCTGTGCTCCTGATTTACTGTTTTTGCCAATACCAGTCCATCTGGTAGGGGCACTTTGGAGGGAACAGGAAGGAGGCTGGGAAAATTTCAGCTTAAGTCATAACCTGGCATTTCTAGTCTCCTCTCCTCCCTGTCCTCATATCAGGTCACTTAGTTTTAACCTTGGGAGGGTAGCCAGTGCAGTTCTTTCTGCACCAGCTGTAAGGGGATAGGGGAGAAGGATTGGCTGTCCAACCTCTGCTTCCTGGGTTAAAGGACTGCTTGCAACCTCAGAAGTGGAAATCCAATTCATTGCCAAATTGTAAAAGTGACAACAAGATACTTTTGTACTGAAATTAAGCTTTTTACAAACCTTCTGAAAAATGCTGTTTTTTGTGGGCTGTGTGGTTACCATCCTTTTTGTAGCTGTTTGGAAAGCTCCCACATGTTTTGCTTGCTGCTGCTGCAAATGTTCTACTTTTCTTTTAGCATTGTGAAGAGCTTCAACATAGCCACTAATTGGGATGATTTTAAAAGGGGATTGGACAGATTCATGGAGGGGGAGACTACCCATAGCTACTCATCCTGATATAACTATGTATTGCTGCCTATACCAATGCAATATGCCTAGGGTAGGAGGGTGCTGTTGTTCTCATATACTGCACATGGGTTTCTTGAAAGCAGCTGGCTGGCCTTTATGTGGCCAATATGCTTGGCTGTTAAGGCCAGGTAGAAATATATATTATATCCCACCTTTTTTCCTTCCAAGGAACTCAGGATGGCTTACATAATAACCTCTCTTGCATCCTCACAGCAATAACCCTGTGAGGTAGGTTGGGCCAAGAGTCTGCCACTGGTCTATTGTCACCCAGTGAGCTCCAAGGCTAAGTGGGAACTAGAACCCAGATCACCTGGGTCCCAGTCCTGCGCTCTAAACAACTACACCAGAGTGGCTCACAAACAGAGGACTCCTGGTGGCATACTTTGTTCAGACCAACTCTTTACTTCTTGCATTAGCAGATGTTGAATGTACAGGACCTTGTTGATGCGGGAGGGCAGGATGTGAAACTAGAATTAGTTGAAGTTCATATAGTCATCATTCTGTGAGTGGCTTTAGATGTTTTTATTCAAATTGACTTTTAGTAAGTAGGGGGAGAATGAGATTATGGGGTTAATAATAAGAATGAAAATGTACAGTTATAGTGCACTTTTCCTGCAAGGAGATCAGTGCTGCACTCATGGGTCTTCTCCCTCTGTTTTATCATCACAATATCTTTCTGAAGTAGGTTAGGCTAAGAGAGAATGACTGACCCAGTCACCCAGTGAGCTTCCTGGCTTACCGAGGATTTGAAGCTGAGTCTCCTCATTGACCAGTTGCAGGGGGAGGGTTCAGTAACTATTAGATGCTTGTTACCTGCTATAGGGTTGGGGTACCACAGAAAATAAAATGATACTGTTTTAAGAAGGGACTTTGTCAGCTATATGTCAAGCTTTCGCCAATTCATTGAGCTTCAGACTGAGCTTTCCCCACTATAACTTGGCTATAGAAGGAACACAGGTTGTAAACTTGCCTTTCTTCTCCAGGGTATCTGTCAGCAGAGCCATCAAACCTTTTGCAGAGCCTGGCCGCCCACCTGATTGGTTTTCTCAGAAGGTAGGTATGGGTCTTCATTCTGCTGTTGGGAAATGGTTGCCTATGGGGCTCATTGTGAGCATCTGTTCCAGTAGGAAGCAAAGCATCTTACCGCATTGCCAGACACAAGTCAGTCAGTGGCAAAGGATGAGAATCTCTCCTGGTGCCCACTTCTCCTTTGGAGGGAAGTAAGTGCTGGAGGCAATGCCCAGCTGTTTGCTTTTTTGTCAGACAGTGGAAGAAAGGAGTGGACAGCCCTCCTGACAAGGGCCAAAATGTTGTTGTTGTTGCATTGCTGTTATATCCTGTTTTTTTCTTCTTGTGAGGAACCCAAAGGGGCTTACATAGTATTTTTCTGTCTATTTTATCCTCACAACAAGAACCCTGTAAGGTGGGTTAGGCAGAAGTAAATGACTGGCCCAGATTCATGGTTGAGTTGGGATGAGAACCTGGTTTGCTTGGTTATCAGTCCAACACTAATCACTGAACCACAATGCTTTTCTTATGCCAGTGAGCTTGATTCCGACCACTGAAAGGGTTGCATGTAAATCATTTAAGGTTATCTGGAACAAGTATTTTTACTCTGCTTCAAATGTATTAGTGTCCTGCATTTGCCAGGACCCCAAGGCAGGGGTGCAAAAACCTCAGACTTGGAGGACAAATCCAGCCCCTCTGTGGGTTCCCCAGACTTCATGCTCTTTTTCCTGACCCCTGAGTTTTGGATAATTTTCCTGTTCTTGAGAGACCCTTTTGAGGCTGAAATGTGTCTCTTCATGCTTGGTTGCTGGCAATAAAATATGCCTCTGCCCTCACCCACCACTGCAGTGTAACCTGTGAGCACTTCTCTGCAGTCGATTTTGAGCCCTGGGCTGAAAGAGGTTCAACACTCCTAAGAGAAAAAGAATGGATGATAAACCAGGTTGGGCCATCGTTTGTTGCAGTAGTTCTACAAGCAGCATGTAATCTAGAAATTACCTGTTCTAGTGGCAGAATGGTTTCCTTTGATGGTGGATGTACTTCTTCCTACCACTGAATTTGCGAGATGCAGGTCTGCTCACAAGCCTCACTTGCAGCTTTGAAAACAAGCCCCTCTACAGAGGTTTTCTACTGCCAGTCAGTACAGTGCCTTCCACTTTTCACCACTTTGTTTCATAGCCAGCCGCATATACTGTGTTTCCCCTCTCTGCCAGAAATCTGCCCATAGGCAGGGTTCCAGATAATTTGGCAGCAATGCTTTAACCCCCACTCCATCCCATCCCCATGTATTTGAGAACTGCTTTGCAAAGTACCCCAACTTTCTGCCAGAAAAACCAACATTCTTAGTGTTGTCTGTAGTTCCACTCTTCTGAAACCTGCATGTTCTTTTTTCCCCTAGCACTGTGCATCCCAGTATTCTGAGCTCCTGGAAACAACAGAAACTCCAAAGTGAGTTCAAAGGCTAAACCATGTGATATAGTGCCTTTTTTTTTTTTTTTTGCCTTTTTTGAGAGGGACAAGGCAGGAGCTGACATTGCAAGGAGAACGCTTAGTAATGGAGAACTACTGAGTGTTAGTGTGTATTTCTGAACCAAAGGGGAATGGCATTTTGGACAGAGCTGACCAAGTCAACTGAAACTCAGCTTACTGTGTTTCTTTTTGAATCTGGTTGATAGCAGTGATGGTAACTTGCATATTCTGCCCTTGCATACAAATCATATGCACTTCCAATTATGCTACTATGTTTTCTGCTCATTTGCCTTCTTGTGAGATCCAGTAGTTTTCCTAGACTGGTACTTGCACTTCTCTGCTAAGCATGACATCTTTTCTTTCATCTGCACTCCAGCCCCTAATGATTAGTTGAAGTTTATGATGTCTTCATTGTCTGATCCATTTCAAGAGTATTTATGGAGTTTTTTGTGTCTGTTGCTGCACTGCTGTGGCACACTTTGCTCAGCTCTTTATTTATGACATTTTTAAACCATTCCTATTTAGTCAATGACTCTCAGGATGGTTTACAACATATTAAAAATTAAAAACATAACATATACAGCCATTCAAATTTAAACAATCACAAGATAAAACAAAACATATTAATAAAAGAGTATAAAATCAGAAATATAGTCTAATAGAAATAATTAGAATTTAGAAATAAATAATACCTCTTAAAGTTCACTGTGAGACTGCAGTCGTCTAGTAGATTCAAGCCTTTCCAAGATTTTTCTAACCTCTGTTAAGTTTGGAGGTCATTTAGAAACAGAGCGAGTCAGAAGGGTCCTCCCAGGCCATCTAGTCTGACCCCCAGCTCCAGCTGGCTCCGCTCATGACATGCCCACCATGGGCATGTCCAGCCTATCCATTTAGAGAAAGAGTAGGAGGCAGTCTAAATTTGGGGGCATTTTCCAGCTTAAAAGTTCAATCTTTTCTTATATCCATTATTTTGCCTTATGATGGAATAATTTGCTCTAGTATGTTTTGCACATTGCACAACTGCTGGATAAGTAGGCTTTCCAGTTCAGATATCCAAAGTGTCTAGGCAGGACATAGATTTTCATGCTACTGTATAGCTCTGATTTACAGTAGTTTTTGCAATGGGTTGCAGAATAACAGACAGGTAGTTGTGATAAAGAGGGGGAATGGGGTGGTGGGATTTGTGTGGAAAGAAGATGCTACATCTTGTTCTTGGTTTCTAGATTATTTCCCTCTTTTTCATCTTTGAGCAGAAGAAAACGTGGTGAGAAAGGAGAGGTGGTAGAAACTGTAGAAGATGTTATTGTGAGAAAACTGACAGCAGAACGGGTGGAGGAGCTGAAGAAGATGATAAAGGAGACCCAGGAGAAGTATAGGTACAGCTCATGCATCTCTGAGCATGGGGCTCTTCAAAATTGCTCAAGCCCAAGTTGATAATTACCATCTAGATGAACTCTTTCTGTGTCTTCCCTCCACAGGCAGCTGAAAAGGGATGCAGAACTAATCCAGGCAGGTCATATGGACCACAGGCTGGACGAACTGTACAATGAGATTGTGATGTGCGTTATCTTACTATTTCCCTGTTACGGTTTTTTTGTCTGAGATTTCATATCTGAGTTCTTGGGCTCGGTCCTCAGCATGTTATAAAAGTACTCAATTACTAGTACTCAGTTCTGCAATCCGTAATGCCCTTAGGAGTAGAGCTTTGAGGAAGGTTCTTAGAAAATGGTTCTGATAATGTGCACCACCCTTTTAGTTCTTGACTAAAACAGTCCTTGTCAGGGCTTGACTATAAAGTGTTTCTTATTGCTTTTAAGTATTACGTATTTTAAGTATGTGGGTCATCCATTCTGCTTTGCCCACAGTAATATTGCAAAACCCTAAATTCTGTTGAATTTCTTTAGGAAAAAAAGAATGGAAGAAGAGGAAGCAGAGGTGAAGAGGAAAGCTACTGATGCTGCTTATCAAGGTTAGCTGGAACTCAGGTGTCTGCTCATTTGCTATAGAACCAAATTCCCAGTGATAAAAAATGTGTAGAATGTCATAATGGTGACGTTCAGTTTAGAGAAAGAAAACAGCCTGCAGTCGCACTTGGTCAGGCTGATCTCCTTAGCCTCTCCTATGTAATTGAACACTGTTGTCAATGGGCCACCACACTTCTCATAAAATACAGTTTGCAAATTTGGAAGGATGGCTTTGATGCCAGAATACCAAAGATGTTCTTCAAAAAGAAAAAGCACCCTAGAGGAAGATATAAAGCTGCCTCTTAGAGTGGTTTGAGTGGAGCTAGCAATCAGAGAGCCACTAAGGAAGAACTTGCTACCAGTTATTTCAGGGTAGGTTCCTTAGTGCCCTCAGGATCCCGCGAACAACTTCTGCAAGCCTAGTGAGCACAGTGAGAGTATGTGGGAGTTGCAGTACAAAACTTCAGTAAAATTCCAGGTTGCCCACTGCTGGGTTACATATTCAGAATTTTTGTGCAGGATAAACTTCAGGGATTCAAGATAGATGCATAGGCAGCTGGGCGCTGGATGGTATTTGGCAATGGTCTCATCATGTGCTGCAATTTTTTTTTACCAAGGTCTTACTAAGCATCTTTTGAATGCACTTTTCTTCTGTTTCTCCTGTAGCTCGGCAAGCAGTGAAGAATCCATCACGAAGATTGCCAGGAATGATGGTCCGTTCTCCAGCAGGCTCAACCTCGCCAGGAGCAGACTACACTCTGGGGGATTTATCTCAGCCCAGTGTGGAAGAGGTTAGTCCAGGGGTAAGGATTTGACAGGAATGAGGAACCACTAGGCTATGCAACTCGGCATTAGACTATGCAACATTGCATATTCTCGGCAACTCTCCAAGACTTCCTGCTTTCTGTTTTTCTTTTTGGTTGCCTTCTGCAATGTAGATGCCTTGGATGCAACCTGTCCAGAGAACAAAATCTGCTTTGTGCTGTTGAGCAAGGATATGGAATCCATTTTGGTGGCATTGCATAGTGTAGGAATAAAAAGGATGGAGACACACAAAGGATTGAGGGGAGCAAGAGTGATGGAGGAGGTGCTTGGGGTACGCTGGGTTTTTGCCCTGGTGGGAGGAGTCATCAGTGGGACATGTCAAGATGGTAAAGATGTGGCTTTGAACAGTGTGGTTTTTCTCTTTCTCAGGTAACTCCAGGGACATTGCCCAGCACCCCAGTTGCCTCCTTCATTGGGATCCCTGACACCCCCATGGGCTCCACCACCATGGATGCCCCCATGACCCCAGTCACAGATGATTCAGCCCAGAAAAAGATGCTAGGACAGAAAGCAACTCCGCCTCCTTCTCCTCTGCTTTCAGAGCTGCTGAAGAAGGGCAGCCTCCTGCCCACAAGCCCCAGGCTGGTATGGAGTTCCCTGTTTACATATGCAGTCGTCCTGGTGAATCTCTGTGACTGACTTTCACCACAAAGGGCAAAGGGCACAAGCATTTTTCTCAGTGGAAGGCTTAGGTAGAGCTTAGGAACCAAAATGGCATGTGGCATTCATCTAGGATGTTTCCCAAGGTGCTCCAAGGTGCTTGACATATGTTGTCCCTACAGTGGCCCTAGATAGCAGGCCAGGATTGTTGTCTCCCATGTGGCTGTCCCAAGCCTACCCTGTGAGTTGATGGCTAAGATACAGTTTGAACTGGGGAGGATGGGGGAATTAGTTCATTATTTACATGTTTAGCTTAGATGCTATGCAAGAATTTTACAAGATTGATGACTGTACCATACACAACGGGTGCAGAACCTCGGCCTGGGGACTAAATCCAGCCTTCTTGGGGTCCCAGTATGGGTCTCAGGAATTCCCCAGATAGTTGTGCCCCCTTTCTTCAATCACCAGTTGTTTGGTGGTTTCTCAGCTTTTCTTTCTTTCTGAAGGGTTGAAATTCCTCTCCCAAGACTTAGTTACTGGCAGGAAGAGCTTCAAGTTATGCTGTTTTATTTTGAAAGGTTGGCCTCAACTCCTGTCACCTTTAGTCCCACCTATCACAGGAATGCGGACCCTGAAAGATTCTCCAAAATGGAATTCATCCCTCATAGTAAAAGAGGTTCTGCCCCCTGTCATATGTTAAGGAAATGCAAGTGGAGATCAGTTTGGACTTCAGTTGCCTATGACTTTATCAGGCCTTTCCCAGCCTGTTGCCCTCTGGATAACTCCCATCATCCCCCAGTTGACATGAGCATGCTGGCTGGGGTTGTTAAGAGTTGTAGTCCAACACCTTTGGAGCTTTGGGAAGGCTGTTCTTGATCATTGCTTTGGTGGTGGTGGTGGTCTTTTTTCTTCACATGCGGTTAGCAGTGTTTCAGTTCCAATTGTACCAAAGTTTGTGTATTTAATCAGTTTTAAATATATTGTAAGCCAACCTATGGGAAAGGTAGGAGAGAAATGTTTTAAAGGAATTCTGCCATCTCTGACACTACCAAAGAAGGGGGGAATACAGTGAATTAAAATTTACATACATTGTAAATAGCATACGCACCAAAGTGTGTGTTCTCAACAAATGTTAGTATGCAAACTGTGCTGACTATAGGAAAATTCACAAGGGTTGTGTATTTATATTATCTTGAATGTCCTCATATAATTAGCACATTCCTCTCTCTATGTGTGGAAGGATCTCCATGGAGCTCAAGAAAGCCCTGTCTCCTTTCGTCCTGCTTTGGTAGTTGCATGTGGACCATGTTGTGTGCACTTGGAGGAGGAGGAGGAGGAGGAGGAGGAGGAGGAGACTCTTAAGCCATGTGGAGATCCTTCTGTGTGGGGGTGCTTTCCTCAATGTGGAGGAAAGATTGTGCCATTAAGATAACACAATATAGAATTGTGTACACTGTGGTTGTTCCCCCACTCCCAGCTTTCTTGCTTTTGTAACTGGGGCATACTTGTTCTTTCTTTTATTGACAACACTAAGGAGATGGGCATAGGAAAGTCCTTCTAGCTTCCAAGGGAAGCCCTGCATTTAGCTCCTTTTCTGTGCTTTTTGAGTTGAGCTAGCTTGTCTGGTGTTCTAAGCTGTTACCCAAACCAGCATGAGTTTCTAAGGCAGGGCTAAGAGGCACAGTGTTCCTTTGAGATGGGCAGGACAACTGTTCTTGATGGATTTGGTCCACACTGCTGCTGCCTTGCATAAATTTGAGGGGAAGGCAGCCAGTGCTCCGCAAAGTAGCTGAAAGAAACAAATCAGTTTTGTTGTGGAGTAGTGCAGTACCTTGGCTCACAAATTCAGTCCGTTCCACAACTCTGGTCACAACCCAAATTGGTTGTGAGCCAAGTCAAATTTCCCCATAAGGTTCAATGTAAATAAGGTTAATCTGTTCTATAATTTTTTTTTAATCACAGGGAAGATGGGTGCAATCGTGGGTGTGCTGGTGGGGAGACTGTGCAGGGAAGACAGGCATGATCATGACTGTCACCCTATGTGGAGTTCGCAACCTGAGGAAAATTTTTTCTGAAATTTCTGTTTGTGACCCAATTTGGTCATGAACTGAGGTGTTTGTGAGCTGAGGTACCACTGTATCTGGTGGCTGGGCGTCAAGGCAAGATCTTGTGGTGCATACGACAGTGGGACAAGCCACGTACCTATCTTAGTGCATAAATATCGTTTGACAGGTGGGTGAAAGCGAGATGTCCATTGTTTCCAGTCATGCAAGCAGTTCTAGTATCCTCTTGGAGGTGGGAGGGGTTCTCCCGGTGTTGCATGGCGGGGAAATGCAGTCTGCTGCTACCACTGTTCCTGCATCCCCTGCTGCTTCAGGTAGGCCTTCTTACATAATTGGTGCAGTTTTTTCCCCTCTCTCCCTCCCTCCCTCCCTTTGTTCAGCTCTTTGTATTGAGGGCGGGAAACTTATTTCAAAGTGTGTGAATACTTACTTGTAAGTACAAATGTGTGTGAACATGTACATGTTTTAAAAGGAGTCTGTAAAAGAACAGATCAGCCTTTTCCATCCTGGTGCCATTCAGATATTTTGGACTTCAACTCCCATCTGTCCCAGGCAGCTTGGCCAATGATGAGGAATTCTGGGGGTTGTAGTCCAAAACTTCAGGAGGATACCAGGTTAGTGAATTTAAATCTCCAAAATTCCTCCATTAGCTTGATTCTTCTTTTCCCTTATCTACTCTTCAGTTGTATTTTATCTCTTATTCCTTCCATTCTTTAGTGCATATTTCCTCCTTAAGCCATTCCCCTCCCCCTCTTCAGTTCTTCCTTTTCTTTATTTCTAATTCTTCTCTTTGGAATTATACTTATTCTGCTGAAGTTTTGTGCATATTTATCCAACTTCTTAAAATGTATCTAAGCATCTGGGCAGAGACCTTTTGTGTGTTCTTGTTTTATTTTTCCAGTCATAAGATGCCTTTTTGTAAGTGCTATCAATGCTATCCACGTTGGCTCATGTAAACATAAAAATGGAGCTGATTGTAGATTAAGTATGCTGGCAATCTTGATTTAAATGGTTGGTTGGTTGGTTGGTTGGTTGTAAGCAGGCTTCTAGTCCCTTAAACAGGGATGGGTAGAAGGTGGATTACCAGATGTTTTGGATGTGAACTTGGAAGCCCCTGCCAGCATGGCTAATGTCTAGGAATGTTGGAAGTTAAAGTTAAAAACATCTGAAGATTTACTTTCAATCCAACTCTGCTTTAAAGCAGTAAAAATAAAATTGAAACTGTGTATTGCTCAATGAAACCTGAAGTGTAGGGCTAAGGACCAGGAGAAAAATCATACCTTATTATAGATTTTGAATCCACCTTTTCTTGGTACCAGATTTGGGCCATTTTTAGCAACTGACTGTCCTCATATTGAACTGCCCTGATAGTCATTTGGCTATTGGACAGCATAGAAATAAATACCTGTTTTAAAAATCATCTCTACCAAATACTATGAGAAGGGAAAATATTGGATCTATGCTAAAGGCTCAGGAACCAACTAAAGGCCTGGATGAACTTCCAAAGCCAGAATCCATTTATATATTTATTGACTTTGTATGGCACCCACTAATCCAGATGGATTCTCTGAGTGGCTTACAGTAAAATACTAAAACCAACAAGAAATCAATTAAAATAATAAAAAATTAAAAATAGATATCACAATTATACCAAGTAAGCAGAAAAACTATCAAAAATAAATAACAATTTAAGACTGACCTGGAAAGTATTCAGAGAAAAGAAACATCTTCACCTGATGACGAAATGAAAACAAAGTTGGCACCGGGTGAATTTCTTTAGGGAGCCTGTTCCACAGTTGAGGGGCTGCCACTGAGAAGGACCTTCTATTGACCATCCCCTTTATTTCTTAAGGGATAGCTCATTTTGAAGGATCTGCTGCCCAGATCTTAATGAGTAGGTAGGTATATATGGGAGTAGACAGTCCTTTAGGCAGCCAGTTCCTATTCCTAAGCCATTTAGGGCTTTATATGTCAAAACAAGCACTTTAAATTAGCCCCACTGGCTACCAGTGCAACTGTACAAAACTGGCGCTATATGGGCCTGCGTGTGCACACTTGCCACCAACTGCACAGCCCAGTTTTGGACCAATTGAATTCACCAGACCATCTTCAGAGGCTGCTTCACATAAAGCACATTACAGTAATCTAATCTGGATGTTACCAGTTATGTGTGACTGTGGCCTGACTCTGTCTATCCAGGTAGGGAGGAAGTTAGTATATTTTCTGCAGCTGAAGGAAGGCTCCCCTGGCTACTGAAACCACCTGGGCCTCAAGTGATAGTCCTGGGTGCAGGATGACCCCCAAGCCACAGACCCTCTCCTTCAGGAGGAGTGCATCCCCATCGAGAACAGAGTAGTGTTCCAACCTGTCAGAACAGCCACCCACCAATAGTACTTCCATTTTGCCTGGATTGAGTTTCAGTTTATTGACCCTCATCCAGTCCATCATCAAGCTCAGGCGCAAGTTTAGGACAGAGTCTGCTTCACCTGGATCAGATGTAAATGAGAGGTAGAGCTGGGTATCATCAGCATACTGCTGATACCTCAGGCCAAACCTCCTGATGATTTCTCTCTGCAGTTTCATGTAAATCTTGAACAGCATGGGGGATAATATAGAGCCCTGCAGAACCCCATGATGTAACCACCATGGGACAGAGCAACTGTCTCCCAGCACTGCAAAGCAGTGCCCCTGACTTCCTGACCAGTCTGTCCTGACCATGGTCAATGGTGTTGAAAGTTGCTGAGAGAACCAGGAGAATCAAAAGGGTTGCACTCCCCTGTCTCTCTCCTGGCAAAAGTCATCGTACAGGGTGACCAAGGCAGTCTCCATCCCAAACTGGGGCCTGAAACCCAACTGAAATGAATTTAGAAAATTTGCTTTATCCAGGAGTACCTGGAGCTTCCCAGCCACCACCCGCTCCAACACCTTGCCCAAAAAAGGGAAGTTCACTACCAGATGGTAGTTGATTACCAACTCTGGGTCCAGGGTCAGCCTCTCTTAAAGAGGCATTGACAGCCTCTTGAGCCTAGGTATGAACCTCCTCTATAGATCTTCCAATAAGTTGTGATAGGCAAGGGTCAAGCAAGCAGTTTGTAGGATGGACAGATCCAAGTAGCTTGTCCACATCATCGAGTTGCAGCAACTGAATTTAATCCATGCAAGGATCTACCTTTTGCCCAGCTCTCCACAGCTCCTGGTATTACCTGTGCCAACTCTTGACCCACACCCATTTCTTCTTTCCTGTGTGCTGTCTCATCTGTAAAAATACTGTGAATCCTTTAAACCTCCAAAAGTTGAATGTGGAATTAGTCTTACCTTTTCAGGGAAAGCTGTGTAAATACCTGGTGTGGCAAAATGTGGTGCTTTTACCCCAGATTTGTATTTTCTTAGTGCAGAATTTAGATTTTATTTTGATTTTTAGTGGCACAATGTCTTGCCACTTCTTTTAAAAGCTCATTGTGTCCTTGCTTGTCTCCATGCTCCTGGGTCCCTTTCAGAGAAACCCAGGACAGCAATCTGTAGCCAGTTTTGTGGTCATGTTGTCCAGAGCAGTCCTGGTAGGATGAGCTGTTCTTCTAGATAAAAGAACCCAGGGATGGCTTGCTTTGTCGTTTTCTGTTGCCATTGCTTCTCAGCTAATGTGCCTTTCCCTTCTTCATACTTTGTTAGGTGCTCCTACTCTCTCCCGCCTTTTAGAAGCTGGTCCAGCACAATTCACCACATCGCTTGCTTCCTTTTCTGCTGTTGCCAGTGAACCTCCAGCCAAACTCCTGCCTCCCCCTGTAGAGTCCGTGTCTCAGGCAACCATAGTCATGGTGCCCACACTGCAAGCACCAGCTGCTGTGCCACCTGCTGCAACTCCAGAAAATGTAGCGACAGGTGCGTCCTTGCACTCATATGCCACTCAGTACCTTGCAGAAGACTTTCCCCCTTAAGTGCTGCAGAAGGGCTGTAGGAATGCGGGCTGTGGGCATCTCAGATCGGTAGCCACGGGTGCGTGTGATCTGAGCTGGGGACAAGAGTACCACGCACAGTGCAGGGCAAATGACTGGCCCAGGTTGTCGAGAAGAGCCCCTCACTCCCACCCAGGTCTCAGTCAGAGCGCAGGAACAGATGATGTGGGGGTGAAAGTAGTGAGGGGGCTAGAGCTAGACACTGACGCAAGAGCTGGCTCCTGTTTTGATTCCGGCGATTGTGGGGGGCGAGCAGGGGGCACTGGCCTGCATGTGCCTTTGTTTGGGGCTGTGGAATGCTTTTTGATTTCTTGATCTGACCCACACTGCTGGTTGGTGCAGCTGCCAGGCTTTCACTTGACTTGTCACTCTTGTCCAGTGAGTCAGCCCAACACCTGTGTTTCCATGGAGGCAGTGCCTGATCCTCACACTGTGACAGTGTCAATGGACAGCAGTGAAATTTCCATGATCATTGATTCCATCAAGAAAGATTGCCTGGGCTCTGGGGCATCTGGTGCTGTAGGGACCTCCAAAGACCATAGCGTGGATGGGAAGGAAGACCTAGATCTGGCTGAGAAGATGGATATTGCAGTTTCCTACACAGGGGAGGAGCCCTCCTACACTGGAGAAGAACTGGATTTTGAGACGGTTGGGGACATTATTGCCATCATCGAGGACAAGGTAAATTGTGTAGAGGCCCATGTTGCTGGTTCCTGCTTCTTGTAACAGCTGTGGATTTCCTGAATGCTGAGGCATTAGTACCTCTCTCTGTAGAGATTGCTTGAACCTTCATGCACAAGTTGGTCCCAGTTTCTGAAACTGACCAAGAACAGCAGTTTAACTGCATTGGCTTACTTTTCTGGTCACCATAAACCTGTGTCTTCATGCTGAGCTTCAGAGGGGCTTGGAGTGCTTTTGAAGCGCAGTGAGAGGTTCCTGGCTTGAGAAAAGGGCAAGAGTTTGTGGTGTTTGCCAGAGGGACAGGGATGCTTGTCTTGGTGACCAGATGTGTGTAACACTGGACCAAGTGGTCTCTTGTCTCTCAGCTCCATGAAATCAGTCTATGTGTCAAGGGATCTATGGAGAAGTATATTTTGTGGCTCAGCCCCAGCTCTGGAATACCTCTCTTGAGAACTGCAAAAGCCTGAGCTTCCTTTGAAAGTAGTGCAAGGCCTCAAGGCAACCTTGGGCTAGCTATACTCTAGATGCCATTTTTTGTTTGCAAAGGCTAAAAGCTGTACTTGAAATGTGATGCGTTCAGCACAACAAACTCTTCCATTTGTAATAGCCAACTCAATACTTCAGCTGAAACATTTCTTTGTCATGCTTTGATTTGTGACCATTTATATGTGCATTTATTTATTAAAAACTTACATAACCCACCTCGACTCTAAAAATTATAAAATACAAATGAAATAACATTGTTATAATTAATCCTCTTCTTTGCTCAACTTTAGGAGGGCTGTTAAAACTTTCGTTTCATATGGCTTTTTAGTATCTTAAGAGCATAATCCTAGAAAAAGGACTATCTTCTTTCTTTGTGCCCTAAATGGATTAGCAGCATACTCTGGTTTTAAGATTCTTTCCTGCTCCTACTGCTATCAGTTGTGTCTTAAATGTGTTTAATATTTTCGAATTCTTTTGAAAAAATATTTTTAAAGCATTTAAATTGTTTTGCGTTATAATTGTAAGCTGTTCTGGGGGGCTTATTTGGGCTAAAAAGCACTTCCTACATATAGAGTTAATTCATTAAAACTATGAACACTCATTTATTAAACAAAAAGAAAACACATCCATAAAGATGAAACAGTGATTTCCAAGGTGCAAACAGTGATTTCCAAAATGAGGCTTTGCCTTCATTGCAGTCCTTCGCAGTCCCCACAGCATGGCCCTTCATGCTTCAAGTGCTGCAGCAGTGGAGTGCCGTGCCTGCTTCGGGAAATCCTGAGAATAAAAAAGTCTTGGTCTGTGCTCTACTCTAGCTTTCTGTGTGCTGGCCTGTGAAACAAAAAGGGTGGTATCCTGGGTTGCTTTATTTCAGTGGCCTTCCACCTTGGCTGTGGCCTGATTGCTGCTCTCTGTGTCCTTGTCAATCAAGGTGGATGACCATCCTGAAGTCTTGGATGTGGCAGCAGTTGAAGCTGCTTTGTCTTTCTGTGAAGAGATTGAGGACCCACAGTCACTGACGGGCCCCTGGGAGCACCCGCTTCAGCGAGAGCACCCAATACAGCAGGAACACGAGAAGCGGAACACTCTCCCCCAGATGGCTGTGACTATCAAGCAGGAGAGACCAGACTGTGAGGAATCGGAGGTGAAGGGGATCCGAGATCTGATGAGCATTGGGGATTTGGCGACAGGCATTAAATTGGAGCCCACTGAGCAGGGGCAGGTCCATTTGAGCTCCGAGGATGCTTCTGTAAGAGCAGCCAGAGCCAGCGAAGCCTCTGAGTTGAGGGGCCATATCTCCGAAGATGAAGAGACAGCAGTTGCAGGTCTGGAGGGCTCTGAAATGGAGATGGAATCAACTAAGGATGAAATGGACCACAGTACCGTGAAAACAGAGGTATCTAAATATTTAGATATATTTGTGAGCCGCCCCGAGGCTTCGGCGAATGGGGCGGCATAACAGTTTTCTAAATAAATAAATAAATAGGTGGTGGTGGGGGGTCGCCGTTAAAGAAGGAATGCTGCCTCCCCGTTCTGCTTTGAAGCTCTGTTATCTGGGCTTAGTCCGATTTTATGCTGTGCTAAAACATTACAGCCTTGCACCTAGGCGGGCTGAAGTTCTCCACAAAGAAGAATCTGTACAGTTGTGGCCAACAAATCAAACTGCACTATGCATAAATGTGTGCAAAGTGTAAAAATACATGCAAGCTGAGAAAATTTGCAGGGCATCTTCTTTTGCATCATATTGTCTTATTTTGCTAGTCAGAAGGGGTGGCAAGGGGAAGTGAAGCCTCGTCTCCAGCTCCTTGGAAGTTTTATTCAGCTGTTCCTCTTCTTTCAAAGATTGCAGCAGACCTGCCTCATATGTCCAAGTATATCAGAGCAATGAAAGGCCTAGAAACCTGTGTTGTCATCCTTACCCCCCAGCCCCCGCTCCTTTATTAAAATGAGAACTGGTTCTCAGTACCAGATGCTTCATTTTGTGTTTCGGTCTGTGGGATTGTAGCACACAGACTGCTCTCGCTATATGTTAAATCCCTGGGGAGCCATTTGCCTGGATGTGCAAGGCTTTGCTTATGTATGCAGCTGTGCTGGTGTCACTGCATTGCCCCACTGTCTGCCTTTATAGTCCTGATGGAATTTGATAGCTTTCAAGTGAGCTGTGTCCTTTCTCTTCATAGCTCCCACCTGATGATGAAACGTCCTCTCCACATGCTCCAAGTGCCAGTGAAGACTCCTCACAGGCAGACCTCCACCACAAATATGAGCTTTCAGGTAACTGGGTTGCTGTGCAAGGGGATCAGTTGCAGCTGTTTTCCAAGGAAGGAGGCTGGGAGGTTTCCAGTGGCCTGGATCTGTTGGAGCATTCAAATTCAGCTCTTTCTTTTTTCCCTTTTTCTTTTTGTTCTTCCTCGCCAGAATCAATGAAGGAGGAAAGTCAAGCTCTGTTTGATCACCAGATGAAGGTATTTTCTTTATCTTCCAATTTCTTGATATAAATGCAGGGTTAATAGTTGTTAGCAGTTTGTTTGTATCTTAGCTCATAGGCAAAGGAATCCAGAAGTAGTGCAGAGTGTCACTCCAATGTATGAGTGACCAGCAATTTCAGGCTGGAAGGAAAATTGCAGCTACCTTTTCTGGAAGCAAGGGGCTACAGCTATATATGTACGCTATATGTATGGTTATTTCTAGGCTGTGCTTTTTAGCTAAACCCCCACCTTCCCTTATTTAACAAAGTATAATAAACATATACTGTAATTAAAATCATTTTTATTACTTATTATTTATTTCATTTCTATACCACCCATAGCCAAAGTTGTCTGGGTGGCTTGCAACAAAGAACACATAAAAATCAAGCATATAAGACAACAACATCATCTATATGTTTAAGCAGCCCAAATACTATGTCAGAAATCAGGAGAAAAGCTACGAAATGTGGGGAAGGTGTGACTGAATTGCTGTAGGAATCCCAGTAGACATGAGTGATTTTCACCATGAGTCAAAAGTATGCAAAAAGCAGGAAAATGAGCAAGGCAGATGTACCTTTCACTGGAGGTGTCACTGTTGCAAAGGACCTGTTTTGCAAAACCAACAATGCAGCTTCAGACAACAGTGAAAAACACTGGAGGCAGACAGCATCATGTTGCAGGATGCTGGTTGCAAAGGAACTTTTCCTGAGCCTGTTTCTGCATTCTAGGCTAGCATTATGTATGTGTAGCTTTTGCCTTATCTGTGCCCATCCTCTTTGGAGGCTGGTGCACGTGCTGTTACTGGCAGTGGTACATTTTGGTTGTGCTGACTCTTTGCTGGACTTTTCCTCCTGAACCTCGGGATGCCCAGGGTGAAGAGGATGAGGAGGACGGTGCCAGTGAAGCTGCCAGTTTGGAGGAGCCCAAAGAGGAAGATCCGGGTGAGGGATATCTCTCAGAAATGGACAACGAGCCCCCTGTGAGTGAGAGCGATGATGGCTTCAGTATCCATAATGCACCTTTGCAGTCTCACACCTTGGCTGATTCCATCCCCAGCAGCCCTGCCTCCTCACAGTTGTGAGTATTGGTGTACCTCCAGCTACTCAGTAGATATCCCCAGAACCTGCTGAGGGTTAAGACAAACGTCTCTTTGCATCATGATGTTGAGTGTGAATTAGCTGGGGAGCCATGTAATGTTAAAGGTCTTGTGTTGCTGGGAGGAGGAGCCTCGTAGTTAGACTCCAGCTGCGAGGAGGCCAGCTGTCCTGCGTTCTCATTTGGAGAAATGTGGTGCAGGTGGGGATACATGTTGGGATTCATGGTTAGCTGCTTGGCCATATCCCATATGCTCTGCTTTACTCTAGAGAGCTTCTTTGTCTCCTCTTCTGATGGAAGCATCTCTTTTTCTCCCTCCCTCCAGCTCTGTTTGCAGTGAGGATCAGGAGGCCATTCAGGCCCAGAAGATCTGGAAAAAGGCTATTATGCTGGTCTGGAGAGCAGCAGCCAATCACAGGTAAATCAGCAGCCTGGGGCTTTACTGTAATGTCTCAATTCATGGGAAGAGGAGAGAGACTGCTGGGTGTGTGCATAATAGCAAGCATCACCTTGGAAGAAGCTTTCCATTTTGATAAGGAGGAATGTCTCTTTGATCATGGTTCTGACTATCTGCACTTCTTGTAAATACTTGCATTTAAATATACATCTGTAAATATATATAATCTATTTTTTTCATTGTTTGGGGGTTGCATTCAGATGAATCCACACATCTGAAAGTAGATGGGTCCACAAAAGTTGATGCTGCAAGAAATTGCTAGCCTTTAAATTGCTATAGGATTCTTTGAGTTTGGGTTTGGTTATTTTATTTTACTTTTTTGCTGCAACAGACTAACATTTGCCAGTCAGAAAGCAGCACATCTTCACTTGTGCAGCTCTTAGTATCTGGACTTTGCTTGATTGCTGCTGCTTATTACTTTTTATCTGTTCCTACTCTGCTTTGCTAGTTTGATCAAATGGGCACATACATATGCACAGTGGAGCAGATGTCAGTTTCTGTGTAGTGTAACTCAAATTGAAAAACATGAGTCAGGTTGCAGAATTTCCCTAGACATATAACCTGTTAAGTAAATGAGTGCATAGTATATTCCAAAAAAAATTGTGTGCTTCTCCAGGCGGAAATTATGCTAACTGCTTTTGGCCAACTGTGTACTTATGTGTTCAGTAGCCAGTTTTGTGTAATTTATGAAGACCTGATGATCCCTTTTTCCTTGTACAGGTATGCCAATGTCTTCTTACAGCCTGTGACCGATGATATTGCTCCAGGTTACCACAGTATTGTACAGAGGTTGGTAACCACTTTTATACTGGTATTTCCATCTGCCATAGACCAGTTCTCAGTTAACCTGCTGATTTCAGGACAGAAGCAAAGCACTGCTACTGGGGGGTGGGGGTGGGGTGGCAGCCTGTTCAGCTGAGCACTAATTCTGTTGTAAAGGTGTGGAAATCTGATCCGTGGCATAGACAGATGGGTGGAGAACAGCTAGTGTGAACTGCTCTTCTTACTATTTTTCTTGTAAGTTGTACTGTTAAATAGATTTAAGCTTAGAATGCTGACAGTGCTTTTTGATGCTTGATTGCCAGACCAATGGATTTATCAACCATTAAAAAGAATATTGAAAATGGGCTAATTCGGACCACGGCAGAGTTCCAACGTGACATCATGCTGATGTTCCAGAATGCCGTCATGTACAACAGCTCTGACCATGATGTATACCACATGGCTGTGGAAATGCAGCGAGATGTGCTGGAGCAGATCCAGGTAAAGGCCCGCAGTCTTCAGGGGGCAGCAGTTCATATCCTGGTCAGCATGGGAGGTACATTAAGGACGTGGCCTATTCCTTGTTGCATCTTAACTTCACATTCACTAGTGAAATTCCCCAGAGAAAGAAATCGATTAGCCTGTTGAGTGTGATGCCAGTCCATCCTAGCACATGTAGTTATTGTCCCTGTGGTCATGCAAAAGGAATGTAGGCTTAGAAATCCAGTGAACTGAAGTTGCCTCCAGAGTTGTGGTAGCAAGCTACTAAACTTGCATGCACATTGAGAACCCTAATAGCTATTATGTGGTTTCTTGCAGCAATTTCTAGCCACACAGCTGATCATGCAGACGTCTGAGTCTGGGATCAGTGCAAAAAGTCTGCGTGGACGAGATTCCACTCGGAAACAAGATGCTTCAGAGAAGGTGGGGGCTAATGAGAGATGGCAAACCTTGACTTTGTTTGGGGGAGATGGTTTGAGGCCTTTGGGGAATGTACCTGCACTGAAGAGGGCTTAGAGTAGCTTTGGAATCTTTTGTCTAGAAGCTTCTTTCAGAGTAGAACCATGTTCACCTTTGGTTTGAGTGAGTAAGAACTATTACTTGGGCAGCCCTCCATGAGTCTGCAGAATCTAGTAAACTGATGGATTAATTTGATCCTTGAAGTCAGGGTTTACTACCAGATGAGAAGATAGGACTGGCGATTAAAAATGTGAAGAGCCGTTCCAGCATGTAACCTGAGTGGGCTTCAAGCCAAACAGAAGCCAAACCAGAGGACTTCAGTTACTAACCCCAACTGAGGCAGATTTTGTGGTGTTTAGACTACTCAGGTTGTGCTGGTACATGATACCCAATAGTATCGTAGGAACTGTGGGAGCTACCCAGCACTTGAGTGCCTGGTGAATGGAGAAAGAAATTCCCTCTGAGATTTGATAACCTTTTGCATGGGTTTGGCATAATCTACCACATGAGAAGAGCCCCTTAGAAAAAGGATGGGGATTAGTTCTGGATGGTAACCAGGCACTTAGCTTCTTTGGTATTCCTGCTAAATAGATTCACTACTTCTGTTGCCTTTTAACAGGACAGTGTGCCGATGGGCTCCCCAGCCTTCCTTCTCTCTCTCTTTGTAAGTACATCATGATCATATTTGATACAGCATATAAGTAAGGTGGGGACATTGCCTGCAAAATGAGGCACTTCCTGAAACAAATGTAGTCCTGTCAAGGTCCATGAATTCTGAGTGTCTCTCTGCCCTTTCACATATTTTGTCAATGTGGTTCTGGAAAAGGTGTTTTTATGGCCTTCCAGTCTATAGCAGCAGATCTCTTCTCTTCATGGTCTGTGGCCTATCTTCTTTGCTTTGACTTTTAATTTCCACAAGAGAGAGTTGCATCTTGCTGAGAGGGGCACCCCTGGCTGGCAATTCTTTTCTACTTTCTCCTTGAGTTCCATTTTGAATATGTTTATTTTTAGAATTTGTGCCCCCATCTTATTTGCTATAGGCTCTCAAAGAAAATTAAACCACATTATTACATAAAAATATGTATTTAAAAATCAAAGATCACATCAAAATCGCCAGCAAATATCAATGCAGTTAAAGAGCTGTGGAAGCTTTATCAGTCCCAATTGCCAGTCTCAAGCACAAAATCCTTTTCTATTTATAAAGTTCCTGTATTTTCAACACCGCAATATGTGTGAGACAGCCTATAATTAAAAGAAAACATTAAACTATGATGCAATATGAAATAAAATACAAAATAAAAACACGGACACTAAAAACAAGAAACATATAAAATCTCAAGGGACCACAGCAAATTAACATTTCCTTCAACTTCTGTCATTTGAATCAGTCCTAAGAAGTATCATTTTGCATCCTTGTATATTTCATACTATATAAAACACATTTGAAGACACTAAGGCCCTCTAGGGTAATGTTTAACTTCCATTAGCCCAATCCAAATCCTGGTTAATAGTCAGGAATGATAGGAATTGTAGTCCCACAGCTTTCTGTGAGCCCCCCTCCCCCCAATTTCAGCTCTTGACCTACCTACTCATCAGTGAGAGATGCTGTTTTCACCAGAGTTTGCCCTCCATTGTTGCAGACCTCTAACAACACTCCAGACAACTTCGCTCCCCATTCCCCTGAATCAAATAGCTAGGATGGAAAGGGAATAGAAGGTGACTTGTAAAGTGTATGTAAGAAACAGCAGCTCTCAACTTTTCACATTGAAGCCTTGCTCCATCCTCTCTCCATATGAGAATTCTAATTCATGTATACAACAAGAAGATTGTATGGAGTGGTTTGTTTCTTCCTTTCATGGTCCTGTTTTAAGAAATCTGTTAATTTGCCAGAAACAAACAAACCAAAAAACAAAGGAAAGACAAGGAAGAGGAGGTGATGTTTTGGTAGGTTCCTTCTCTCCACTCAAGAGAAAGAGGATGTGGATCATTTTCTAATACTTATCTATTAAAGACAGCGAAGCATATGAGGAAAGGCAGCCCAGATGGAAGTAAACTCTTTCACTGTCCTTCATTCATGGAGAGCCGCTGTGAGGAGATGCTAGGGAGATAGTGCCAGGTCACGCAGATGGAAGAGAGCTTCTGTAAAGAGTCATGCAGGTATGTTAGCAACACCCCTTCTGCCCACTGGAAGAATCCTTGAACTTGTTTTCACATGGGGCAAAAATAGCACTTTGTACATTGCCAAGTGCCTCAAGCAAGTCATGAGCCACATTGCCCTTCCCCCCAGTCCAAGTTGCCACACAACTCCCACAGTCAGTTTCATACACCAGTCCTCTGTGTTTGAGGAAGGCATGCTGTATTTCCAGTCCATGTGCCGAGTCTTTCCTGGTAACACAGATGGCAGCCAACCATCCTTTTGTCCAAGGCTTGCCAATAACAGCGTTTCCCTTCCTGTTTTTTCTTTGCATTTTGACTAGGACGGGGGAACCAGAGGACGCCGTTGTGCCATTGAAGCAGATATGAAGATGAAGAAATGATGCTGACGCCTGATCTTTGGTGTCTTGGACCGAGGAAGCAAAATGAGAAGTTCGCTGATGCCAAGAAGGAATGGGCTGTGGACGGGAAAGGGCTGGCCTGTCTGCCTCAGAGTGGGTCATCCTGGAGCCTGTAACTGGACAATGCCCAGAGACAAGAGAACAGCCTCTCTGCCTGTTGTAGGGCAGCTGTACTGGGGCCCTGTTAGTGTCCTCATATTAGCTAGCAATTGGTGGCTAGTACGTACTGTAATGTGAAGTGTACAGATTTTTTTGTATTTGTGGAGTGTAAATGTGTATAATAAATTGTAGTAGAGAATCCTGTATAGCAGTGTGCGCTTGCTGCATTGGTTTGTGTGTGTTATGGCCCTCTGCTAGGAAAAATCATCTATGGTTGTAATCTTTGCACCCCTGATCTGCTGGTTTTGACTATGTAAATGCTCCATGACAGCTGGTAAGGCTGTCACCTCCTGGGCCCAGACTACCCGGGTTGCATTTTGGGCAGGGCAGTGTGGGAGCACAGGGAGTGTAAAGGAAGACAACTTCAGATTTTTTTTGTGAAAATTGGGAAATACTGAATTACCTCAGATATGTACTGCTCTTCAGTATTTGCTTACAAATGTTGCATCCTCCGAGACATGGAACAGCAGCATGGAGCTTGGTTATTCTTCAAGCATGTTTTTACTTACTGCATTTTATACCACTAAAAGCCAGTATTCTTTGGGGTAAATCCATAAAGCACCAAAATGAAACAAAATGTAACATCAAAAGCAAGAGTGATATGCACAGTATCACTTGGGCAACCTGGATGTAGATGGCACTAGATTAGATGGATACCAATGCTATGACTCAGTAGGCAACACATCATTTATTTTATGCCTGATTTTCTTTGGAAGGAAGATGTTGGCTACATGATACATGATAGGTTGGAAACATCAGCAACACATTAAGTTCTCAAGCAGCTAAAGAGAGCACACCTTTGCCCTCTGTGCTGCTACCAGTCCCAGGAATTCCAAATTCTATTTGTGAGGAAATAGCACCTGACCTTGTCCTCATAGATAACAAGGCTAGAGAGAAAACTAGATTAAAACCCTTATTTAAGACATTTGTATGCCATCCTTTGTGGCAGCCTCAGGACGGCTTACACGAATAAAATTCCAATATACATAATATAAATAAAAACATTCCACAATATATCCTCTCAATTAAAAAAAAATGTGACTGTATACAAATTAGCAATATTATCAAAATAGTATTGTTAAAATGAAGGTAAAATAAAAAGGTCTTTAACTGGTGCCAAAAAGAGTAGAGGGTTGGCACCAGGCGGACCTCTCTGGGAAGCATGTTCCATAGTGTGGATGCCACCACAGAGAAGGGCCACCTCCGCGTGGATACCCTCCGTACCTCCCTCAAAGAGGGTTCCCGGAGCAAGGCCTCCCCTGCCGATCTTAAGGGGCGTGAGGGCATATAGGGGAAGAGACGTTCCTTCAGGTATCCAGGACCCAAGCTGTTGCTTATCCTTGCTGCCTGACAGGATAAATTTCTGTTCTGCTCCCCACATCTTGGAATATTTCTGTCTGTGAGCAGCCGGTGGCTCTACTTCCCTAGTACAGCATGTGCACAGAGTTGAATGGGCTCATATTATTTCAGTAGTGCTCAAAATGGTTTTCTGTTGACACTGTAATTCAGAACAGGTGAGCCACGCATTTTTGTCTTTTGGCTTATCTATTACTGATACCTGGCCTCTGACAGGTGATCCAAAAGGGAAGGTGGTCCTTGACAGACAAAAGATTGCCATCCCCTGATTTGTACACATCTTTTCATGTAACTCTTTAACAGCAACCTACTAAATTGAATAACACAAATGGGAATAAAATGGAATTTGGGCATTATTGTTAAACATTTTCCATCATTTCCAGCAAAGCTTGTTTGTAGGATTATTTTCTTGGAAGAATCCTTAGATGATAGTAGATTAAGACTTGGTCCAATTAGATTAGCTCAACATGATGAACACTGTTTCTTCATAGTTCCTAGTCTATTTTTGCATCTTTATCTTTATTCATCCCTGTTAGCAACCTAGGAGAAAGGTAACACTTTAAATTCTATACACATCTGAGTGTGGTAAGATAGTGGCTTCCTGCTCTTTTATGAACTAGACCTATCTCCTGGTTAGAAACAGTCCACCTTTTTTAGTCCAGTTCTTGTATGTACTCTTTGCCTTTTTAAGGGAGCAATTCTGTGGCCCCTGGATTCTGGGGGATGATGGAAGTGTTTGGGGTTTATTTATTTAATTTCTATACCTCCCAACAGCTTGGGGGAGTGCACAATGTGCATTAAAAAGCAATAAAAAAATAACATATAAAAATTTAAACATTGTTAAAAGTTTACAATACCATTTTTAAAACCACATATTAAACAGGTTGATATGTATATATTAATAATAACTTTAAAATATTCAGACCAAAATATTCTATTTCTTTTGACAAAACAATTCCCAGCTTGGGGAATTGGAGGTTGAAGGCTGTGTTCCAACTTTGGAGCTGGAATTGGAGCTCCACCCACACTGCAGCCAGCTTGGAAAGAATCATGACAGCTGTTCCCTGAGATTGGGAGTGGCATCAAGAGGGGTAAAGGGCTGGGAGAAGACGGGTGGATAGGATAGGAACTATTCTGAAGTTGCTCCAGCCTCCCTTTCTGCTACTCTGAAGTACCCCAGCTAGACAGGCAAGAAACCCAACTAGCAAAAATGTAGTGTGGGAGGATGGGGAGGTGAAGATCACCCCACTGCTGTTCCTGCTCTGTACTGGATGCCCATAAGCCTCTGGGCTTATGAACTTAGGAGCACTCCCCTACAATCATGCCCTAAATTGCATGGTCCCCTGTCCCTGTGTCCTGGGCTTGTTTGTTTTATTATTTGACTTGTATGCTGCCCCATTAGCCATAAGGCTCCTTGGGCAACTCACAACAGTTAAAACAACACAATTCATAATTCATTTAAAACCATTTAGAATACAAAAACCAACAGTAGAAAAATAATAATAAAAATAGACATAAAATTAAACAGTCAATATGTTAAATCAACATAATCTTAAAAATACATTTAAAATTAACATACAAAAGATAAAATCTGGTACAGGCAGCAGCAATTAGCAGCATAAACCATGAAAACCATAGCTCAACCAGCAAAATGGTGAAAAAGAAATGTTTTTAATTTCCGCCTAAAAGAATAGAGATGGCGCCAGCTGATTCTCTGGTGGAAGAGAGCTGTACCACAGAAAAGGCCCCTTTCTTTGCCATCTCCTCCCTTCGTTAGGGGGAAGAATGGAGAGAAGGGCCTCAGTGTTTGGGCTGGTATATATGTAGATAGCGCTCCTTCAAATAGCCTGGCCCCAAGCAGTTTAGGGCTTTATGTTATTGCAAGCACCTTGAACTGGGCCTGGATGGCAACCAGCAGCCCGTGTCGCCTGCGCCGCACCAGTGTGATGTGTTTGTGAGTGCCGGTCTTCATCAGCAGACACGCTGCCTGATTTTGGACAAGTTGCAGTGCCCAGACCATTTCAAGGGCAGCGCCACAAAGCACATTGCAGTAATCCAGATGAAAGGTTACCAGTGAATGGATGACTGTAGCAAGACTCTGATCATCCAAGCAGGGGCACAGCTGATCAACTAGCGATAAAGCGCTTCCTTGCCGTCTTCACCATCATGGAATAGGCTTGATAATGAGCACTAAGCCGTGTTCAGTCAGATTTGTTCTGAGTTCTCCACCACCTAGGCTCTAGCCATCTCCCCTCTTGCTTTGAGCTTGGCTCTTCCCTTCTTGTCCTTAGGCTCCAAAACACCAGACAGCCACTTTGCAAGGCAGATCTTGATCTGCACTTTGAAGCTACAAGATGAAGTAACTCCAAAAGTCCTCTAGTGAGCTGAAGTATAAGCCTCTGCTCATGTAAAGAGTGCTGAACCCAAACTGGAAACTCTGTGGACTTCACCCTCAGTGTGGCTCCCACTAGTGAAGGGCCAGCTGGCAAGACCTGTGCAAGCCCTCTAACCAGGCAGCTCAATGCCTTGTCATAGGGTCTGGGATTGGGCAAAGCAATGACTCTCCTCCTCCTCTTGAACTCCTGTCTCTTCCAAAATTATCTCTGCTTTCCTCATCTGCCTGGGAACCCATGGACAGCAACTTTGAAGGTGTTCAAAGGCTTCTGCCTCTCCCAGAGTTTCCAAAACTCCCATTGTTGAGTCTTCAAGATCTTCAGAATTTAAATCATGATGACACCGGAATGCCCACCCAGAGTGACAGTCTATTTCATTCATTACACCCTATCGCTAGCTAACCAAATTGGGACTCTGCCCCACACCCCTACTGTAGGGGTGAATGAATGTCCATGATGTGTTTGGATGGTGTTGTGCAAGTTGCTCCAACTTGCTCATCTCCAGATGTGTCAGACTATAATTCCCATCATCCCCAGCCAACATTATATTGGCTGGATATGGCGGAGAGTTGTAGTTCAACACATCTGGAGGATGCCAGGTTGGGAAGTTTGGTGTACGTCATACACAACCAGCAGTCTCTCCCGAGACCTAGCTGACCATGCCAGAAGGACAGAGCATGTGCTTCAAGCTCTGAATCTCTACGGCTCTTACGATGCATATTCTGACAACCCTCAGATGTGACTGGAACTGGGAGAAACTGGTAACTGAGTGAGTGACAAACCCAATCCTCTTTTGACATCTTGTGCACCTTTGTAGATAGGTCACGTGTGGACCTGGCTGGAACCCAAAGGAGAATTCTTACCTGAGTCCAAAAAGAGCAGCTGCTGCCAGTCTCTCTCTGATTCTCTGGACTCTAGCCTGGAGCTGGAACAGGGCAGCTGGAGAGAAATCGAAGAAACTACCAAGGAGGAGGCAGGGAAAAGCAGCAGCCAAGAGGAGCACAGCCAGCTGGAAACTGGAGACCCTGATGCATGGGAAAGGGTCCAAGAAGAGTCTGGAAAGCACAAGCAGGATGTTTTCTTGAAGTTCCTAGCAGAGGTATGGCTGCTAGCAGGCGTTACTGATGAAACAGGAGGTCAGGTGGGGTGGTGCAGCTGTCTGGCCTAGTCAATTGGAGGAACTGCCCCAAAGGGCAATTTCTGTCTGCAATTTGGCAGACACACCTGGAGGTAGAGGATCAGGATAAAACTTACAGATGCATTGACCATGGCCAATGTATTCCTAATTCAAACTTAAGGCTGGTTTAGAGGGATACTTTCTCTGTCTGTAGGTAAGTCATCCTTCTGAAACAGAGCAAATACTATGTTTTATCAGGGCACATTATCCCGGCATCTCT